TTCGGCGAGCACCAAACTCGTTGCAACCGTCTAGTCGAACTGAAAAGAACGATATAAGTTTCAGAATTTTTGGTGGTGTTTTAGCGGAGATATTAGCCGAAAACCATCGGTAGCGCTTCAACCATATTCAGCACGAATAAAATGTTTATTGTAATGTTAGATATCCCTCTAGTGGACAGAACGTGTAACAACAACCACATGCTATAGTGGCATTGGCGATCCATAAGCCTGAGTAATGTCGTAAATATTAATAATAGGATGAATTTGAGCATTTAATATTCGAATATTATTCGAATATTAAATAAAATAAGGAATGGAATTTGAATAGTATTATAGAGGAAGATTGACAGCCCTAATCTACAGTATTATTTTGTAGATTTATATGACAACACAGGCAGTAAATATTAACCTCAGCGTAAATACTTTGTCATACTAGTTATGTATGCTCGTTTCTTGGAGTTCGCTATTGTTACTGTACTAGGATCTTGCGCTGGATAGATAACAGTGTAAATTGTCGTTAATGAAATCACTAGTTTACCGCTTGCGGGAATATAGTTGGAATTGAATCTTCAGTATGAGATGCTGAGAGAAGCCTGCTTTATATTGTCCCAGGTTAGAAAATAAGTCCGTGGTGAAATGGGCAGAGCAAACTAACAACTTCCAATTAAACTGTTGCGGTATCCGATTATAGATAAACATCAACCACGCCTGTTGACATTTCTTTTCTGTGGGAAGGGTTTGAAAAGTCCTCATCCCCTGCACAGCCTGGAACATAACATTTGTCTGTCTCCATGATCTGCCATTTTCCCTATGATCCTCGCTTGTCTCTTCACCTGCAGAACTTCAGATGATTCAGCTGGCATTGAACATGGGCTGGCATATGCAAATTTTTGGAGGCGTGCATATCAATGATCCCGACTGTTGCGTCACAGTCGGTGTTGTGTGGAGATTCGCCTATTTTTCAGGGGTGTTTTTCAAAAATGAGATTTAAATAAGAAGGAGAAAACAATGGTGTTTGAGACTCACTGTGTGTCATGTCCATGTACTGAACTCTTGTTATTTAACTATGCCAAGATAAATTCAATTTCAAATTCTAGGGCACCTTTAAGACATAACCGACTATGTTTGCATTTTGACATAATTTTGAGTGAATTTGTCCGTTCAAGTGCAAAATGACGTGAAAAACAGCTCAATTTAGTATTCTGAGACACAGCTTTCCGTGTGCGTATAGAAAGCTTCTCACACAGCGCGCATGCGAATAATAAACTTTCATGACGATGCAACACTGACCCGGGACAGTTGACGTAACGGTCACAGTCCTGAGCGGCTGAGCCTTTTTTTGGACTGGTCCCGGGCCATCAAACAGTCCTCATCGTCGAGCCCAGCGCTTTTGTTATTGTTTTGTGCCTGTCCGAATGAGCACTATCAACACCGGGAGATGACGGCATAAATAAATGTTCATATTAGAGCATACAGAACTCGCATCGAACAAAGTGACTGTTTCTCTCGACAGGAGATTTATGTAATGCAGGCAGCGGCTCTATCAGCGTCTCGTCTCCTTCGCTTGCCATGCTGAACTGCAACACACCAACATGTGTGAGGAACCGTGATGTCAACAACAGATTTACATACTAACAGTTGATTGGACAGCTACTCTCATGTAAAAAGCATGCGGAGCGTATCCATCGACAGAAACATACATAAGAACTCTGTCCATCTGTTTTAGGCATTATTTCACCAAACCATATTATAGATGCGTCGTCAGATTTGAGATTAACCGTTGTGCAAATGCGTACCAAATCATGGGAGGAAAACGGCATGGTTCGTGTGGTTCGTTTTTTTTTACAGAGAACCGTTACACCCCTACTCTCTACTAAGGCTGGGCGATATGGCAAAAAAAATCAAATCTGGATTTTTTTCAGAATGATTGACCAATTCTGTTTCAACTTTTTAAAAAACGTAAGTACAATATAATTCAAGTAATGTTCTCTTTATTAACCATCTGGTTAAAAAAAGGTCTATTCTAAGTGCACCACACCTGAAGTGATCAACAATGTAAACCAAATGACTTATTTGTTAAATATCTTTGCAGAAAATATTCATGAAATATGAAGGCAAATATTGTCCACACTTATGTTGTCTTTTGTTGGACAAGAGGTTCATAAATGTTTGGAAAGATGTTTAAAGCGTGTTGCTTTTATAACAAATGCACGTTATAAGTGGCTCAAACTCAGTGCTTTCAGACTGAGCAGCGTTTACAGAGCCGTACTTCAATGACAAGCTGCACACAACAAATAATCTCAGCCTTTGCCATTTCATAATCGCGATAAGCCAAATCGGTTTAAGTGCGATTTTATGTAAATTACGATTCATCATGCAGTCCTACTATATACTCAGAAATAATATAAAAATAAAATAAAAAATGCTAAATATTTCTTTCCCAAACCTTAAGCAATAAATAACACCAGTAATAGGCTATTATTAACAGCAAATGCTTCGTAAAAACAGAAAGACAGCACCTTTCAGCCTCTCACTATCATGCAAACTAGTAGTTCTTTACAGGTTTTTGCATTTCATTGTGCTATTTTTCTATTGTTTTTATGTTTGACAGACGTGTTTGGCTGTTGCACTCATGTCTCGCGTCTTTTGCAGCGTCTCTCACCCATGAAACGGCATTTTAAAAATGTGGTGCTCAAGTTTAAAAAAAATTCAACTCAAGTCTAATAACTTCGCTTTTTCCCATTCCACTGCCAGGGTCTGGGTTTTTTTCAAAGCAATAACTCATGTCTGAGTGAACAGCGATGAGTTGAACGTTCGTAGAGCGTCACACACGTACGGTTAATCCGGCGCGCCATCATGTGGTCAGATCATTCTCTTGTCTTAACTGCTATCATTGCTGAATTGTCAACATGTCTATAATTGTAACGTTTGCTACCATTTTTATTCAAAACAGCAATTTCTCGATTTAAAAATAATAAAATAATGGCAAAACATTACATTTTAATTAATCAGAAAAAAAAAAATCTGAAAGAAATCGCCCAGCCCTACTTTATCTTAGTATCGCCAGTTAGGGTTGTCACGATACCAGGACAGTCCCACATGATTGCGTTCCTAAACACTAGGTATCCGCCAGCGAACGCATGACAGCGTTTATTGCATTTATGATAAAGGAAGAAAAAAAAAGTCGCAGTGGCTAACCGATTGCAGCAACTTCCATTTTCATTACAGATATTGTGCGCCAATTTCCCAGGAATTTACGATTTTGTTCTCTTGGGATGGAGACGCTGCTTTATTTGCAAATGTTTTATGCGATATTCCAATTTTGCACATAAGTAAAATATGCTACTTTGGATAGAAACATAGCTAGTGTGGCTCTTACAATTGCGTGTGACTTAGCTTAACTTATTTCTGAAATATTATATAACTGCTTTATTAAAAATCTGTATCCCAAAATCATTAACATTTGACAACAGACTGAGAGGCATCCTCCCGCCCTCAATATTTCTTGCTTAAATGAAGACAGAATTTTCCTTTTTGGGTGAACTATCCCTTTAACTGAAATCAAAATTGCTCAATTACAAAAGCACCACACCGAAATCAATAATTCTGTAAAACTACAAGTCTAGATTGGAAACTCATTGTGCCTGCTCAAAAGACAAAACAATATAAAGATTATTACATTGATCATCAGCTATAATAATTATCAGCTGTTGGACAGTGCATCTCAAATGAAACACAAAGTGCAGGGGAAAAAAACAGGACAGTTAATATGAAGAAAACCGGAGAGATTCTGGATGTGTGTGTGGTGGGCGAAGACTGTTGAACAGCACAGTACGGCAGGGGTCATCCTGCATAACTTTCTCCTAATCTTACATCCGACTGCAGGAAAAAATACATCTTTCCTCCCTTACCACACATCTAACATACTTACATCAGCTCGGAGAGATGATGCATCTGATATTTATAAAACTGATCCTGAAATGCACAGGAATGCCAACTAAGACAGAAGCAAATAACAATTGTTTACCATAGCATCAAAATTGCATGGCTGAGTGCAATACAGGGATGATGTATAAAGTCTACATTAGTTCATGAGTCATGACATATTTATTTAGCTAAATATGACAATGTCACTTGCTCAGATCCACTGTAGGATGTTGGCTTTAAAACAAGGCCACCAAACCCACAGAACTCTGCCTAAATAGGTTACAGATGCACTTGTGCACATGCTACAAATAACACACACACGCACAAAGTCGAATCAGAACAGGGCATTTTTCCTGACATTGCAGCAAAATATCCCTCAATTAAAGACTATTCTTTAATCTCACACATTTTTACCAACAGTTTCAGTGTCATATGCAATGTAATAGTCTTTCTGAGAACTGACAGCACAAGGGTACACAATAAAACCACAACAGCAATAACAAAAAAGTGCAAACCAAAAGCTTTGATTAAGACTTACAACTTCTAGTGAATGTATTTCAATGTAGATTAGGGCCTAAGTTACATATATAACCCTGCACATCAACGGGACAGGAAGAGATGCAAATGCCCAGTTTCGTATACCAATAGACCAGATTATCATCCTACAGCACATTTACATGTATAATAAAACGTTTAAAATGGTAAGCAATAAAAAATCTGATGTGTGAGGGGGCTCAGAGTACAAAGCGTCTGTTTTGATATGGCTAACTAGCTAAACATTCCTTGCTATTAAACCACAGAAACACCATACATGTCATTAATACCGACTAACATTATATAAGTTTCAAAAAATAAAAAAACGAAAATAATCTGAGCACATTCGCTGTGTCGTGATATATGACAGCATATACGGAAAGCTTGAAAGCTGGCTAAGGAAATCTCTCTGCTAGCATTAGCCACCCTTCAGCTGCGGCTAACAGGCTAGCAACATTAGCCCTGCGCGAGCTCCCAAAAAAAAAAAAAAAACACCACAAAAGACAAATGTCACCTCACACTTCTCACCAAACTCGTACATTTTGGAATAAGCGGCCTCATCTTGACGACAAAGCGATGAACGTCCCGTAGTTGAGGACTTAAATGTTCGTTCTTCTTTTCATACAGGCCCTCTGTGAAAACAAACTGTCATCCGCCAAACGGCACTCGGATCAGCTCGAGCTCAAAGCGGGAAGAGCTCCGCAGCGTGCGCGTGCGTGTGCGCGTGCGTTAGTAATGGAAAGTCCGACTCTTTTCCACGAATCGGTTCTTTCGAACGGTTCGTTTTAAAGAATCAGTTAAAAGGTATCAACGAATCTTTCAGTCATCATGAAATCAAAATTGACAATATTGCAGTATTTATTCTAAATAATCATAAACTTAATCAAAATGATGACGTGTTTACTGACGTGAGGGTGAACCAATAGCAAACCAAAACCATCCAATCAATTCCCCATAAAAAAAATCAAGTCCCGCCCTAATTTTTTTCTTGTTCGAGAACCGTTTCTTTCGGATATACGTCCCAATAGGAGGGAAAAAAGATTAATCACAACTTTCATTTCATGCTGACTTTAAAGCTGCCTTCGGCAACATTATTTTGATCATATTCAGTGAAATCGACACTATAATCCGACAGAACAACATAAATAAAATGGTTTTAGAAAAAAACCCGAGCTTCTAACTCCACCTGGAGCGTGTTATTTGTTTTGGAAAAATCCACAGCTCCCGGATCATCGGGTCCAATCAGCGCAGGGGGGTGTGAGACCTGACTGTCAATCACAGATCGGGCGCAGTTACAATCACATGCACACGCCTAAGTTCGCGGAAGTTCGCGCAGTAACGAAGAGTGATGGCGGAAAATCAAGTAAGCTCATTTAGAGTATAAATGACGTTAGCAGTTGCAATCTATCGGTAGATTAGCCAGGACAGCATACCTCCAAATACTCCATGGTGTTGATGGATGCTGATGAGACGGGCGCGTTCACAGATAACCTGGTGCACACGCACTGACGAGCACGAACTCGGTGGGAGGTATTCGTTGATAGTGGGGGAGGGGCATGAGAGTTGTAAACATTCAAAATTTTGCCGAAGTCCACTCAATCTGCCAGACTTGCCGACTGCAGCTTTAAACCCCCTCCCCTGCAGGTTCACGTACGTCTGCCTCCATTTCAAACAGTCTGAACACCAAATCACTGATCCACCAATTCCCAGTCTGCATCCGAAATGACATACTTCCCTACTATACAGTATGCGAAAGGCAGTATGTGACAAGAGTGTCCGAATTCACAGTACTCATAAAAGAGTAGGCAAAAAGTACCCGGATGACCTACTTCTTCCGGCGAGATTCTGGCCCTGTCCCAAATGGCGCACTTCATGCGGACTTTCGGTCTCGTGGACTTAAATTGCGCGTGCTCGCCGAGTCTACGAGTCCGTAGGCCGTCCCATTTAGCATTTTAAGGCTCTGAAGTGTGCTCAGCAGCGCCCCCTTTGTACCCTTGAAGCGGTCTTCCGCGAAGCCCGCATAGATGCAGGCTCCACGCACTTTAACTACCCAGGAATCCTTGCGAAAGGCCAATCAGACAACGGATGGGAGGAGATTTCGCTCACGGACAATTGTTAACATGGCTGAGAAGAAAATATTTAAGTGTAATTATCATTACGGTTTTTATGACAAGTTTATACAAACATTATGATCATCGAGCAGTGGTTGATGTCTCAAACATAGGCTAATAATAGCGAGCTGAATAATACGATGGCATTATGATTCATTAAATAAATAGAACCGAATGTCAGGGCTTTACTGAGTCATACGTAAACACAACAACAATAGGCAGCATATTTCCCCGAACCTGTAGCTCCTGTCCATAACAACAATCAGACCGTCTTCCTGTTTCCGGCGTGACGATCGAGTCTGTCCCAAAAATACCTCTCAATGCGCCCTCGCGGACTCGCGCTTAGGGCCCTATACGTCTGCACTACATGACGTCACTGAAGTGTGGACTCTGAGGAAGTCCACAAGTCCGGAGTGTGCCATTTGGGACAGGGCCTCTGAAGTGTGCATTCGATGGACACTTTACTATCCCATGAGGCCACGGGAGAGGATTTATGAATGGCAGTGAAGCGACGCAACTGACGCTGGTAGATCACATGATAATGACAACATGGTGTCATACTACACACATTCATACTTTATAGAACATACTTTTTGAATGGTCACAAAGTAAGTAGCCTACTTATTGAAAATAAGTACCAAGAGTGTATGTGATTTCAAACACAGCCCTACATTTTTTTTTCTTTTACGACAATCCACTACACAGTCCTAGCCAACTAAATAGTAAGCATATTGGGACACAGGGCTCGCTCTTAGTTGGTTGTCCCTGTCACAATACCCACACTTGTGGTCTTGGCCCCTCGACAGCAAGGATGTCCCCGGTCTGAAAAATGGCAAAGCTCAGTGGCCTTGAATTCACACTAAATCTGTCTCTGCTTCGGAGAGATGTCTGAGGTTAAGCGACTCCCATCATTCACCTTTTCACTCTCACATGAAATGCCGGAACAAGCAGATTCCAGATTTTGCCCGTAAAATTTGGCAGAGCAAAAACAAATGTGAATGCACTTTACAGTACATTTTTAGGCATTACATAGTCTATCATTTGTGAGTTAACGTAAAATGTCGCACATTTTATTAGTGCAATTACTAAATAGTTTAATTTGTTAAACAGGAACCTCTAAACAGACTTTAATTCTATAAAAGTTCAAAGAAAAAAATTTCTTTACAATTGAAAGAAATTTAAAATAATAATAATTACATGAATTTTTAAAACAAGTGTTTGCCATCAGGTTATCAAAAAAAGAAAAGAAAAAGCAAAGCAAATAGTTTAGCTTTCGTGAATGCATTCAATCGATTCATTGAAAAGATCCGATTCAAAAGACCCGTGTTCGCGTGAGCGCGCAGCAGCAGTCGTGCCCGTACTGTCGGTTGAACTGACACTGTATATTTTTTTCTTTTTAACATTTTTTATAATGTCTTTCTTTTTCCTTGATTTCATTATTTACTTAAACGTATTTACATTCTGTAATAAATATCTGTGTGCGATAAATGTTTTATACGCTTTCGCAATGTTGTGAATGTTAACAATCATACCAATAAAGCTTTGTTGACTCTGACTTTATGACCATTTTGGGACAAATCAGTCTTTTGTTTACAGTCTGGCGGCTCAGACGCATTCCGCGCGCGCATACTTGGCTTTCGCGGCACCTTTCTTTTTATTCCCACACACACTCTCTCTTTCTTTTCGCAAGCGTACGGAATATGTGAAAAAAGAACACACACACACACACACACACACACACACACACACACACACACACACACACACACACACACACACACACACACACTCACTCTCTCTCTCTCTCTCTCTCTACACACACACACACACACACACGAACGCACATAAAGCAGCGGCCATTCCGGGACTGAACAAAAGAGCGCATTCAAACCCACCGAACGCGACCAGCGCCGCGTCTGTCGCGCTCGACCGCCGAACGCGCGCGTTTATCGCGCCGAAGATAAACCCTGTGCCGCGGAAGGTGCGACTCTGAGCCGCGCAGAGCGTTAAAGTGCTTTACCTTGAGAGGTGTGACTCCGCCATCCTTGTTTCCTCCTCCTGTCCAGCAGCGCTGCAGCTCGCGCGCGACGCTCCCCTCCCCAGCGCGCGTCACTGACGCGTCACGAGACTTCTGGAGCTCCAGATTTATTTCTGTTTGGGAAATTTCGCAGCAACAATGGCAGACGCAATAAAACACCCTGGCGGTGATCAGCAAAGAAAGTGGTGAATTGGAGGACGGAGAATTCATTAAATATAAAAAAACTGAAATATGGACGACTTTTTAAAAGATTTTCTGTAATAAATGTGCGGTTTAGTGACACAATGAGGAGAAATGTGCCTAAATGTTGTGAAAATACTCTACGTGCATAACAACAACAACTAAAATAATGGTCCAGAAATATGCGTATGATGATCATGACCCAAAAGTTTAACATCTATCCATCTAATAAATCGTATGAAAATGATTTCCACCTTCATCAGCAACAAACATTCAACGCCATTGACGCTAGGCGGCAGCAACGGATCATTTGTCTCGCGACAGACGAGTCGGAGCTGAACCGGAAGTGCGTATAACATCAGCTGATGAGATAAACGGTAAATCCACGAACCGAAATATATTTCGTGCTTTTTGCGTTATTTAGAGTGCATTAACTATATGGATATAATAGTCTTTTGCATTACATTAACAGGAACCTTGCTGAAGCACAATGCCTGAAGTGAAGTCAATGTTTAGAGAGGTTCTGCCTAAACAAGGTGAGTTTTTCCACTGGTGTAGTTTTGTTTTGCCCAGCAAGCTCGTGGTCGATGTAGTGCGGGGCTTTCCAAACCTCACCCCTATACAGACCCGAGTGAACATGACAGAGATGAACAACTGCAGCACTGGAATCCACAGCTCAACTTTACCCAATGCGGGTTACACAGGTCTATCTATCAGTCAGTGTTGTGTTTCATCCGTGCAGGTCAGCTTTCCATGGAGGACGTGCCCACCATGGTCCTGTGCAAGCCCAAACTGCTCCCTCTGAAGTCCGTGACGCTGGAGAAACTGGAGAAGATGCAGCAAGAAGCTCAGGAGATCATTAAACAGCAAGAACTGGCTTTAAAGGAACAGACTGAAAAGGCAGAGTAGGGTATACACTTCTAAGGATCAAGTGCACACTTCCATCACAGCCTAATATCATCGCAGACAGTTTACTGTAATAGCCAGTCATCATCGCTCATGTATTATGGTCAACTTGTTCTTTTGCTAGAATCTATATTTATGCGTGAGGTTTTGTATGCTTTAGTTCATACGGTGGCGTAGGCACTTCATTTAGATATGTTCAAATCTGTTTTATTTAAAAGAGGCTGTTCAGTTTTAGATCTGTTTTTATTAAACATGTCAGCAAGCTTATTCACAACAGTTGCAGCTGTGTTTGAAATGGCTATATTCTCATAATCAATGTACAAATATGTTAAACTGTAAGTCAGTGTGATCGTTTTTCTTTTCTTTGAATAAAATGGCAGCTAATTAATACATGAAATTGGGATTATCGACAGGCCTTTATATTTTGTCTTTTTAAAAATACGTTCCACTTTGTAAATGTCTTATTTAAATATTTATCGATCTTCAAATGTTCTTTTTTTTAAATAAAGCAATACTTTTTTCAGTAAGAACATCCTGCTATCTCAGGAATAAATTACATGTTAAAATATATTAAAATGTAAAACTGTTTAAATTGTAAATAATTTTACAATACTGCATTTTTTTTACTGTATTTCTTATCAAAAAGATGCATGACTTCTTTCAAAAGAATGAAAAAACGTCCACATTTATCCATCATCTGTCTGTCTGCCCTTCTTTCCATCTATCCATCCATCTGTGTATCTATCCATCCATCTTGTATCTATCCATCCATCTGTGTATCTATCCTTCCATCTGTGTATGTGTCCATCCATCTGTGTATCTATCCATCCATCTGTGTATCTATCCATCCATCTGTGTATCTATCCATCCATCTGTCCATCCGCTCACCGTGATTTTGCCAAGTAAGACATGGTCCTGGATCAACATTCCTGTCCCAAAATGTAGTCCTTCCCAATCCCTAACCCTACCCATAACTTTTCCCTAAAATCAGAGGGTAATGAAAGGTTAATAACACTGATGTTTAAGTACTTCACTCTGGTTCTAAGCCTAAACTTGACTAACTGTAAACTTGTCCCTCAAATCTGATTGGTTGATTGGAAAGTTGATCCAGGAACATGTGGTACTTGGTGAAATCACGTTCACCCTGTCCATCCAGCCATCCATCAATCAATAACTCCCAAGTGAGTAATGACAAACTTTATTATTTATCAACCATTTTAAACAAAGAGCAAGTAAGTTAAGTACGTTTCACATCCACCAGTCTACTGAAATATAAAAATAAATGTTCTTGACACTTCTGTGAAATGATCCCAGCTGCTGTGCATTGTCCATCCGTCAGTGACCATCAGAAATGACACCTTTGAGAAGTCAAGGAGAAAATAAACTCAAGCACAGTCATACAAAAAGCAGCCCAGGAGGGAGAAAGAGCTTCCAACTTACATGCCCCCCACTTATAAAGCTATGTACACGACTCCACAAGTCTACAAACACTGCTAACTGGAGCACAGGAGTGGCAGTGAACTCGGGAATACAAAACATGGAATGACTAAGTCATAAGTGTGGCACTTTCAGGATTAGCTTAAAAAGTGACATCAGAAGGATCGGTTGGGGGGGATTTACATCTCCTTTGGATTTGAAAAGTGCCTGGCCCTTCGGTCACATCGTGCGTTCTGACAGGAGCAAAGTTTTTTAGTACTTAAACTTGCATGACAAATACAAGCAACTTAAAGAAACACAGAGCTCCAGTGAGCATCAGAGGCGGAGCAGCTGCCACAGGAAGGGCTCGTGGGACGCCTGGACTCAGAAGCTGTCCAGCTTCAGCCGCCCGCCGTCTCCTTCACTCATGAACCTCTTCCTGCCCCTGACAACATCAAAAAACAAACTATTAGCGCGTTTATTTGGGTACATAAAATCATTTTTAATATACTAATAAATTATGTAATAATAAAATATACATTTCATAAGAAATATGACAAAGAACTATTTTATTTGGATACATGACAAATTATTTTTAAAAAAGTAAACAAAAAAAGAGAATTTGGGTACATGACATTTTTATGTAATAATAATAATAATAATATATAAATACATTTTATTTATTACTACTACTGATAAATATAATAATAAATATACATTTCATAGGAAATGTATATTACAAAAAAGGAAAAAACTATTTCATTTGGGTATATGACAGAGTTTTGATGTAATATTAAATCTTTATGTAATATTTTGCATATATTAAAACTATAAATAAAGTATTTATTGATATTATATAAAAAATATATTTATAGTTTTAATATATGCAAAATATTACATAAAGATTTAATATTACATCAAAACTATTTGTCATATACCCAAATTAAATAGTTTTTTTCCTTTTTTGTAATATACATTTCCTATGAAATGTATATTTATTATTATATTTATCAGAAGTAGTAATAAATCAAATGTATTTATATATTATTATTATTACAAAATGTATTATTATTACATAAAGTATTTATTGATATTATATACAAAATATATGTAATAATAATACATTTTGTAATAATATTGAATGCATTTTCATTACTATTCATAAATAATTTTTTATATAGTAACAATTTATGTAAAATTATACATATTTTTATACATTACTGCAATTCATAATAAATGCAATTATAACAATAAATATGTATGTAGTAATAACAAAGCTAAGTTATGTCTTTATACAAAAAAACAAACCCCTCACTCACTCACCGACAAGGACAGAGGTCCCGGAGTTTTTTATCAATGACCCCGGCGTTAAAGCTCTGCTCCACGAACTGCTCCAGGAGCGAATACGCACACGGCACATCAATACTGATATCTGCCATGTCCAGGTAGACCCTTTCAAACCCCTGTAAGAGGACACCATTCAGATAAGAGGCACTTTTAAAGCTGCAGTGACTGGAAACGCCCAGCAGGCGATGCTCGTACCCGTCTCAGCTGGTCCACAGTGATGACGGTGGAGGCGCACAGACACTTCAGCAACTGTAGGACGATCTGAAGCGTTCGGTCGCCTTTAGACTCCAGCACCATGATAACCGCCTGAAGACAACACAGATAATCAGGCGGAGCCGAACCAGGCTTGAAATGCCTGTTTTCTAGCCGTTATTACCTCATAAACAAACTCGTGATGAAAATGTGGCACTTCCAGTTCTCTCAAACAGCGCTCGGCTTCCACGGCGTCACCTGATAACAGGTACTCCTTCAGCAGGAGGTTAACCTGCAACAACAACGGTTATGCAATCCGTTAAGAGTTAGCATGTGTTGACGCTTAATGTGCCGTGAAATCTCCGGTGTTATGTCACGCAGCCGGTGAGTGTGTGTCCTTGCCTCTTTAATGAGTTGATTGACAGGTCTCTGGCCGCCGCCTGAACCCCAGAGGCTGTCGATGCGAAGGCCGGTCCATCGACTCATTCTCAGCAGCACAGCCGCGCGATCCAGTGCAGCTCTGGTGAAACACACACACACACACCCACGTCACACTCGCAGAAGAGCACAGGATAACACACACAGCGTGTAAAACACTCCATACCTGGCGTATTCGCAGTCTACTCGTCCTTTGTAGCCATCTATGAAGCTTTTTGAGAGGATGTTATCCGCAGCGGCTCGAGCGATGAACTGGCCGAGCATCTACAAGACAACGGCAAATGGGAATTAGCCATTTAACATGTACAGGATAAGATCACTCTTTCTGAGAGCTTTTCCATGACAAACACCACTGCGATCACAGGATCCAAAAAAGAAAAAGATATTCATTAATAATTAGGCCTATTAGAATTTCATTTATTCATTTTACATTTAACATTTATTAATAATAATAATAATATTAATATTAAATATTACCAGTGAATAATAAAACATTTAGAAATCCTTACATTTGATCAACACTAACAAAAAGATGAAAATTAATTCACATTTCTTGGTCCATTCTCTATTCACACTGTCATTAATAAAATCTTTTAACTATAATCACCAATATATATATATAACTTCATAATCCCAGGTAAATATAACTCTTTCTGAGAGCTTTCCACAGAAAGCATTTCCATATTTCTTGTTGACACCAAAAAAGGAACTGAAATAATTAGTAATTAAATTAATTTCTTTTAAGCTGCAAAAATGTACAAATAATCAAAATATTATTAAACAGTTCCACATAAAATGTTACTTTTTGGTCATCTCTAATCTAGGTCCATTTTAAAATAATAATAATAATAAATATTTATTTTATTTTGTATTCACGCTGTCATAATACAAATAAGAAGAGATTTAAAATGTCCAGGGAAAGATCACTCTAAGAGTTTTCCACTGAAAGCATTATATTTCATGTTCACACACACACACAATTTGCACAGAATCCAAAAGGAACTGAAATCAGACAACTCCGCAGATATTGAATTTAAAAGTGCATAAAATAGGCCAAGTTCCTCATCGTAACATTTTTGAAATTCCATTGAAATGTGTGTAACGGTAAACAGAGCAGTTGTGTGCACAGCTGGAGGAAACACACTGTCAGATAATGCAGTCATACACATCAGTTCACACTGATGGAGCAGGTGGTCAGTGTTTGTGCACGTGCTACCCTTTGTATTGGGACCGTATTGGGTGTGAAGGGAAGAAAGGGTTGTGTTTGCCCCATTCTAGCGCTCAAACAACATCTGCTCTAGTGTATGGAGTGAGGGCTGACAGGAGAGAGCTGGGTAAATGTGTTTGTACAGCAGAGAGTGTGTTTGGAGGCACAGCGCTGACCCAGCATTCTGCACACAGACAGACAAAAGCACAAGCTCTGGTGTTTGTATGAAGCCAAAGGAAACAGCTGAAAGTTTCTTCTGACTGGTTCATCTGCACCACCGGACGCGCTCCGACCACAGGCTTTTCATTGTTAACCGCAGCTTATCAAACGCGCGTTTAGCAAAGCGAACATGAAGACGCACCGGAGCTTAGAAACTGTGCCAAATGTTACGCTGCAAAAGTGAAGAGAGAGAGAGCGGTTCAAGATTATGAACTTTAGCTGATGATTAAATGTCATAAAGATGATTGCGATTAATCTATTCTGTTCATGCCAATTCACCTCAAGAAATCATTTATTCAGATTTAATGTTGATTCATAATAAAAGAAGCATTTATAATTTTCGTTAAAGCTTTGAAAGCTGCCATAAAGTATAAAAATATGATATATATGTGTGTGTGTGTGTGTGTGTTATATATATATATATATATATATATACACGTAAAATATTTAACTTTTTGGTCAACCTGGTCTACTTTCCAATTACACTCATGAATATAATAATAAGTATAGTATATTATGTATACTATATATAATAATTGTATTAAAGTACCAATATATTATTACAGTAATAGTCTAATAATATATATATTATTCCAAAATAAATTCAAAAGTGATTTACTAGAACTAGACTCGCGTGCGGACGTTACTGTAAGCCAGTGATTATAGTTTATAAAGTGATAAATATGGATATTTTTCTTACAAAAACCCATCGCTTTGCTTCAGAGGGGCTTTATTAACCCACTGGATTATTTTTATGATGGATGAATGCGCTTTTTGGAGCTTCAAAAACTCACACTATTCACTCCCATTATAAAGGTTGGAAGAGCCAGGATATTTTTTTAAATATAATTCTGTGTTTGGCTGAATGAATAAAGTCATATACACCTAGGAGTAAATCATGGGGTAATATTAATTTTTGGGTGAACTATTCTTTTAGATGTCCTTTGGCATAAACCTGGCATAATCTAAGCCCTGTCTGTGAAACCAGGCCTAAATTAAATGTCAATTGTAAAAAATATATGAATGCTAATCATATATTTTAATGTTTAATCCATAGGGTTAAGGGGTTTGAACAACTCCCCAGAAGTCTGTGCAGTAGTACAGTGACCGACAGGTGCGCTAGCTTTAGCGTGTTACCTGTGGAGCCGCTGGCGTGTCCAGCACCAGGTCGGGCAGCTCTTTGAGCAGTTTGTGGAAGGAGGCCTCCACGTCACCGGCCGTGAGCACGCGCCCGCAGAGCTCGCTGAGCAGTCGGGACGTCAGCTCCCTGTGGCTGGCTTTCGCCTCCAGCGCTAGCGATACGGCTAGCATGGGCACGTCGCCACGCATGCCACTCAGGTTCAGCTCGGCAAGCAGTTCCTGAAGGAACGGAGTGAGATGTTCTGATTATAATGAGAACGCACCGCTCCCAGGTTTGCACAGGCTTGTTTACTCATAAAAATAATTGCATGACACCGATTAGATATGAAAGGGCAAAAGCCGTCTCCTCGTTCAACAACACAGTCATAAATCTCACCGCCACTTCATTAGCATCCCCGTGCTCAAAGTACTCTTGAACTATAGGAGTGACCGTCTTCTCAAACGTCTCTTCGTCCAGAGGGAGGACGACCGTCTCGTATACGCAGTTCTCCTGGAGAAACACAAAGTGTGATGGCTTCGTGTGCCAATTTCATGGCTAAAACCCAAAAGCGAGCGTGTCGCGCGGCTCTTACCTGCTCCGCATCGTAATTGGGATCTTTCACATCAACTTTCACATCTTCGTCATAAACTTCCCCCGGTGTTCCCCATACGCCTTTACCGCCAGCTCCACCTATAGATACAAAACACATCTTTTCAAAACAACAAAGTGCATTGGAGGAACTTGTGACGTCATGTCGAGAACGGATTGAAGAACGAAAACTCTTTCAGTTCCTTCTGCTGTAGCACATGAAAGTACACGGTTCATGCGATTGTCATGTTAACCGCACAGTGTCGCCCCTTCTGAAACGATTCCCCTAAACAGGGCCGGGCCCCTTTAATTCACTCCTGGTGACATCATCTCTCGATATGTGCTGAGCTCGGACCATAAGCGTCAAACTGATACTGAACCAAAAAAACTGAAACTGATTAAAAAAACACCAAAGCAGTTTGTGTACGCAAGGCTTAGCATGGCGTAGATGTTCTGCTACACACTTAAGCTGCCCTAAACCGGTATGACTACTACTTTTGTGGAACATAAAAGAAGATATTGTATGTTCTTTATACCATAAAATGGAAGTCAAAAGGCTCCAATGTTGTTTGGTTACCAACAGTCTTCAAAATATCTTGTTCTGTTTTCCGCAGAAGAAAAAGTCATACAGGTTTGGAACAACTTGAAAGAATTTCCCTTTTTGATTGGCTAGAGACCCGCGACACGATAAAGCTAAATGAATCGCCGTCGAATGGAGCTTTCCACTGAACACAAACCGATTGATTTCTTTCGGCTAATTCGCACTTGTACGATAGGTGGCGCTGACCGAGAATACATTTTTCCTCATATCTGAATAATAGGCAGACGTGCATTATTTGTAGTGTTTTATAATATACTGAACGCTACACCTGCTAAGCATTTCTCATTCTTTATTGTTATAAAAAATAAATTACAATAAATAAATAACAGAACATATCTCGTCATAATCATAATTTTTTGGCTTCATTTTTAGAAACGTTTCTCTCAGTTGTTTGTGCGCAGAACCGAACGAGAACGTCATCATTTAGAAGTTATGATCACGTAATATGATGGACAGCTCTAGAACGAATGAGCTCTTTAGATCGCATAATTCAGTGGAAAATGAATAGAAATGATAATCTGTATAAAGAGCATGTAAGAATGAATCTGCTCAACATCCATTCTCTTCTCTCTTCCGGAGTACTTTTCTTCTGTGTTTACACAGGTTCTCAAAACAGTGCCACCATTCTCACAAGTTTGTGCAACAGCTCAAATCTAATTGAACGGCTCGTTTCATCGCGGGGCAACAAAGAAAAAAAGACACACTGGTCGATTGAACGCGCCTGGTGTGAAGAGCTCCATAGGGATATAATGTTTCGATTCAAAAGCGTCATCACGACGTACATGTGTCGCTTAATTGCGCTCAGTGTGAAAGGCCCTTCAATCTTTCAGTAAACTAGTTCACTTTCGGCTGTAGTATGCAAGTGCATTTTGAAAATACCTTTTAATGACCTGAATCACAGGTCAAAATAAATAAGCTTTAGTAAAAATTGGGCCGTAATTTGCTTAAGGTTTTAAATTAATTGAATTAACTAATATCATCAAACTAATAATTTTTTTGCAGAGAATGTATTTTTTTTAGGATGATTTTTGCAACCATGCTATTTAATTTAATTTAAAGGCACAATGAAATGCAAGTATCAAATGATCTTTTTTTATTGTGACATACGAGTTAAAATAAAATGTAGGGTGGAGACTTGATTCTATCCACTGGTTGTTGATTGGATGGAGGCAGATCTGAAAGCGAGCTTGCAGTCGATTGTAAGAAAGGGGCGGAGTTTAAAGACTGATTGGATAAGTCTGTCATTCACCCGAAAAATCGGAATTACGTCATTTTGATTAAGAACTACGAGGTAAAAAAAAAAAAAAACACATGCAGGGATAAATCGTACACAACAAGATCAACATGCATTTAAAAAAATATACAGGGTGAATGCCGACTTTAAAAGTATCTCATGTTTGCTCAAACTAGATCAAATGAGAAATTTGACAAAGAAAACATCATCAATTTTGTATTTCTGGTTTAAGGGCAAATAGTGCTGAGAACAGGCGCGCTCAACTCCCAAACTGTTTATGGGTGCGAGTTATAAAGAAGGGCAAAACAACACAATTAGCTTCTGCTCAGCTTGACCGTAAAGACGATTGTCAATATGCTGTAATCCATTTTTCAGGCCTATTGTATTTGGATAAAGTGGGGCACTTCCAAACCTACTACATTTTCACTGCAACGCCTACATCTGAAGGATTCTGGCCAAAAAAAGCGAACAGGATCTCCTGCCCTGCCCTGCGGGCTGACTTAACCAGCAGTTACATAACACAAACAGGGCCGACTGTGCCATCGCAGAGCGAATCAAAAAGAGAAGTGTGCCATTAAGTCATCTTGCGGGGGTGATGGGGGAGGTGGAAAGGTCAGGAGGGGCGATAATCTCAGCTAAAACACTAATCTAGACGATTAAATGATCACCGTCAGACACAAAGAAAGTCGAATGTTGTTTTTTTGCAGGCTTGGCATTAGGTTAGCAAGTCAGCATACATGTGGCGTACTTGACGCAGCCAGTCGGACAGTATGTAGGCCGTTTCTGCAAGCCAGACTTTTACAAATCAATTCAGGTCTGTTGCACTCAGAGACGTTGAACCCTCTACAAAGGACCAGCACTGTGTAAAACAACATCTGAATGAATGGGAGTGATCGTCTGTTATGAACGTATGTGTGAAAACGGGTGGAGTTTGATAGATTATGTGTGTCAGTCCGTTCACTCTGATGTTTCTTATCCGTCTAACTGGCTAAAATAAAGCAGTGAATGCTGGAACAGATCCAGGTCAACATTGAACACATATAAACGAAGCCCAAGCGCACTGGACTTCCGGAACTTTCAGAATTCCAGAATTCCAAATGCAATTCATTCATATTCACGTGCAGTTCCAAAGATCAGTTAAATCAAAACATCTACAGTCCAGAATGTTTTCATCTGTTGGGTGTGGACACAAATATAGTTGTGGTTCTTGGTGTGAACGGGCTTTAAGGAATGAAAACAGCACCAATACCTTTCTTCGGCAGGCCTCGTCCCTTGCCCATCCTGGACCTCCGGTTGAGCAGTTTGCCCTTTGGGCTGGTGGGCGGGACCGTGGACCGGACCGCATCACTGTTATCACTCAGCGAGTCGCCCCGGCCCGAGTCCCGGGAGGAGTTCTTCCTCAGACGTCTCTTCACCTTGGCCTTGAGTCTTGCCTCGTGAATGCTGCCGGTGGGGGCCAATATCCAGTTTCCGTTGATCTCATTATTGACATTTCCAGCGAAGGTGCTGTCCTCGTCCCCGGAAGGGAAGGAATCGCTAAGATTTCCGGCCTCTGTGGATGACAATATGTGAATATTCATGACACCTTATATTATGAGACTAAATATACATAAAAATAGCATTAGCACTAGGGACCAAAGTTTGGGCCCCTTTAAATATGTTTTATTCCACCAAGAGAGTAAAAACAAGTGATAGTCCTGACCTTGGCAAATTTGCCAAGGCTTATATCAAATACCAAATATAAGGGCAAATAGTTCTCAAACACTGACCTAAAAACATTTCAAATGATATAAAATCACTATCTCAAGCGATAAAAATCCACTTAAACTTACCAACAGGGTTTGCATTTAGCCATGCCTCACAGTCAGTTGCCATGGTTAGTTTTACAGCGTATGAAGTGTGCCTTTGCACCTAGAAATGCAGAAATATTAACGTTAATATGTCTAAAACATAAATGAGTTGTTAAATGAACACATGTAAGTTAGACAGCCGCTCCAATCAGCAGCGTCCATTTGGCTCATACACAAGCCTGATACAATGAATGGACACATTACCACACAGACAGAAGATCTGCAGTCTCTAAAACAAATTGTTTTGGCGAAGCAATACTTAGTTTTTATAATAATTGTATTAACGTGTTTTACATTTGAGAGCACGCATTTAATATTTGGCGTTACGTGCACGCGCAAATGCACGAGCGCAACATAAACATAAACAAAGCCTCGGGACGTGCAGCGAACAAACGCGTTTTTGGCTTTATTTGACGCAGCGTTTAAGGTAAAATCTTCAAAAGTGTAATATGTAACAAAATAAGTTTCTTCCCAACAACAGCCAGTCGTTAAAAGAACAAATCCTACTAACCTGCTTTATCGCGTAGCCCAAGTGCGAACGTACTCTCTCCGCTGATGTTGATTTTGTGTTCTCTGCCCAGCAACTCGACAGTGTAATGCTGCCCTGCGAGCTCTCTGATTGGTCAGAATAATAGAGGCGGATAACAAAATGACCAATGAAAATTGAGTTCTGACGAAGCAGGTCTTTCTCGTATTTTCTACGAGACGCCTCGTTCGTTGAAGATCGTGACTTTCCGCCGCCCGCCGATGGACGCTGGAACACAGCAGGTGATGTCATTATGTAATACACTGCGCATGGGTGAGGATGAAGTCACCTTTTCTCTGTTATATTGATTGACCCATTAAAAAAAAAAGACGATGGGTAAAAAAAGATGCAAGGGTTATTTCATAACGTGCAAGACAATAGGCCTACATGTCATTCAGGGCCATCATGGGACATGATATTTTCCAAAATGTTTATTCAATATTTGCATCAATGCAACCCAAAAATAATTATACAGATTTTTCTTCCAGAAAATGGGATGCTATTATTAACAGAATATAAAACAGCGGAGAAAAAGTTTTCCAGAACCATTCCAATAATATACTCGCATTATAACACACACACTCACTCAGTTTTTTTTATTTTTTTATCTTTAAACAAATAAATTTGATAATTAGACAAATAAGCATGGTCCAGTTCAAGTATCCTTAAAGTCTGAGCTCTGTGTACAGCAATGATGAAAAGCAAAATAGTATGACAGACATTACACAGAAACAGCTTTCCACTGTTCAACCGATTTTCTTTTTTTTTAGCATTTTGAGATTTTCACTATACCTCACCACCCAAAAGGCACTTTAAAAAAGTGATTATTTCAAGCATGAAACAGATTCAAGACCTGAACACTGACAAACAACAACAACAGAATATTCACAAGTATTAACCTGAGGATAATTTTACACCTCTTGAACTTAAATAGAAATTTAAATAAGGCACATCTGAAGTCTATAGAGGCAAATCAACACATATACGCAAGCTTTAGAGTATGAATGAGGCAGATGCAAATGATGTAAACACTACACTTACCAGTGCATTTCACATTCTAATACATATTTTTCACAGTGTAATAAAAATTCCTGGACTGCAGCGGACACACACCACCTTGTGTCCTACGCTTAAGGGCAGTGTATTAAAGAGACAGTTTACTGAAAAACAAAATTACATTTCTCTATGACATTCTTTCTTTCTTCCATAGAACAGAAATGAAGATATTTAGCAGAAAGTTCCTGCTTACTTCTTTCCATACAAAGAAAATAAATGGGAACTGAGGCTGTTACAGTGTTACAGTGGTTTTTCAAAGCCTCGCTCATGACATGTGGGAGAAAAAAAAAGATATTTGTTAAGTTATAAGAAGATAACTTATTCGATCACTCGTTTCAGTTAAAATGTAATCCATTACTTAATACAAATTACGATATGAAAATTGTAGTTATTAGCGTAACCTATTACACGTCACATTTTAGGTAATATAATCGGATTACTTTTTGATTACTTTTGACTATAGGAAATCAAATATCAAATATGAAACCGATATGAACATTTTGGCAGATGCCGATAACCGATAATTCTTTATATTTGAAAGCCGATAACCAATATGAATCCTAATTTTTATACAATTTTTAAATTTGGAAATATAAATCCAATTTTTTATATCATTTTTTAAGAGCCTGATTACAAAAACAAAAGTCTCACCATTAAAAGCCACGTCCCAAGCACACAATTATTATTATGTAGTTTATGTGACAGACTTGCGCTGCACATGTTGCATATTTAGTATTTTCCTTTTTCAAGCAATTTAAAGCCATCAAGGTGAACAGTGCACATCTGAAGTGTCTCAACTGAAGGAAATCATTTATTATTTATCGGCTTTAATATATCAGCAAAATTGTCTTATTGGGCTGATAAAAATAACATTTAATTCGTAAAAACTTTCATACAATTCACATTGCAATGAACTAGAGTACACAGAGGATCCAATTGCTCCGGTTCTCCTTGTGTCCCTTTCCTCTCCTCTTTGTGTGTTGTCTCTCTGTCTCTCATTCAGTGTATCCCAGCAGTGATGGCAGTCTCAGGTGAGCTTCACTCAGTTTTTGGCGACTCCGTGTGGAAGTTCAAGAGACTTTCCTCCGCCAGCTGCGACAGATACTTCTATAAAAACACAAACAATCCCCCATTAAATAACACAAACGTCGGTTTACTTTTAAAGAGCAGCCATTCAGCCTTGAAGAGCAACAGTTTGGTTTCTCTGACTAAAATGGCTGACTGACAGCATCTGATTGTTATGCTGAAGTTAGTTTATGCTACAATTGGATTTTCCATGTTTCTAAGCTCTTTTGGCTCAGAAAACAAACTTTTCAAACCCATAAGTTTATGTAATTTGTCCACTGGCAATATCCAACAGTGGATAAAATGACAAAAAACATTGACTTGCTGAGGCTAATTTTATAGCTAGCTTTTTATGAATCCTAATTTAGTCATCTTAAATAATAGTGACACACTTTTTTTCATAATTTGACAAAAGTGTCTTTCACATTTTATAGGTGCAAAATTATTTTGCACTACTGTTGTGCTGACAAGTATGGACTTGACTGTTTAGTCAAGTTGAGGTCTGTTTTAATGACATAAAAGTGCCTTTAGTCGAAGAAACTCCTGCAAATGTGAGTCCTACCAAAAAGCGTACTTGTTTACCAGTGAAACAAGGAGAGCTGAAAAAGAAGGTCAAATGTGGGAGGAAAGCAGGTGTTTCCTGTAGTGTTTACAGTCTCTCTCTCTCTCTCTCTCTCTCAGTTTCACCTGTCGTGCTCTTCTGGTGTTAAACTCTCACTGTAGTTCTTGTAAACTCAACACAGCTGGCAGACCTCGAGCCGGAGAAGTGAAGTATGAGGTGGCGCTGTTTGGCCAACCGCTCTAGTGTGAGAGACGTGAGTGACAACTGGCTGTGGTCTGACTGTGATGACGGGGAATGTCCGGCTCCGAGCCGCCTCAACTATGCTGTGTTGGAAAGTGTGTTCGTCTGTCTGTATGTGTGTGTTTCTGAAGGGTTATAATGAGAAACCATATCCCACCCTGAGGACCGGGCTGCTTAGATCAGTCAGTCTTACATTGCCGTCACCAGTGGTGGTGAGTAACTAAGTAAGTGTAGCCTTTTCAGTAACAAGGTACTATTTCCAACAAGTAGCAGTCTAGTGTGACCAAATGCTACATCGCTGTTTGAATTTCACATTGTTTGCATGTGGCTTTAATGCCAAGAGAGCAATAGTTAAATACTTACTTCAACTTATTTCAGTTTATTGCCAAGGCAACATTTTTAATTTTCATTTAGTTCAAGTTTTTTAACTAATATTTATATATTATTTTTAGGGCTGTCAAATGATTAATCGTGATTAATCACATCCAAAATAAAAGTTTGTGTTTACATAATATATGTGGGTGCACTGTATATAATTATTTTATATATATAAATACACACACATGCTTGTATATATTTAAGAAATATTTTCATGTATATACTGTATATAGATTTATATATAATTTATATTATATATAAATATTTTATATAGAAATAATATTTTTTTCTTAAATATACATGCATGTGTGTGTATTTATATATATACAAAATAATTATACACAGTGCACCCACATATATTATGTAAACACAAACTTTTATTTTGGATGTGATTAATCGTGATTAATCATTTGACAGCCCTAATTATTTTATTTCAGCTTTATTTTCAACACCGCACAAGAGTTAAAGCTGTTTAAATCATCTTCGTTTATGGTTTTGTATTGTCATGGTGACAAAGCAGTAAAATTGCATTTAACTTTAAAGGTTAAGAAAGAGAAAACATTCATATTTTTATGGAAAGAGAAAGGAAGACTGCATGTTAGTATGTATGACCTGTAGGTTCCTGTAGTGAATTGTACTCCGACAGTGTGACGTCTTGGCTGTTTGTTCGCTGTTGTAAAACAAGCCACACAGGTTGCAATAAAATCCTGTCCTTGGCACAATGAACTCCACACCTGCCAAAACAACAAAACCAGACAGAAATCAGAACAACACCAAACCGATACATTTTCTGAGCCACGTTCTCATATACTGTGTGTGTGCAGGGGTGTAAAGTCAGCTCTTCTGAGGGAATCAAGTGCGTTAGCTGTGTGGTAATGAGTACACAAGCTCAGGCCTCGAGGGTGCAATTCACACCTCACTCAACAGGATGACAAATGCTCCACTGACATCAGCTGGCCTTAAAGGCTTCAGTTACCCACTGAGAGCCTACATCACAGCCAGAGCCGCTCAAAGCGCCGCTATTACTATTGCTCATGCTTTCTTCTTCAGGACTAAACGGCGTTTATGTCATGTGGCTCAAATCTTTTGACTCTGGTGGACGTACCTAACGGTATGCTGTGTTCACTAATGGCTTTCTCCTGATCCTGAGAAGGTGCCGCAGCACAGATGTCTGTCGCCTGAGGTGAAGAGGCCGGTAATGAGTCGGGGATATCTAGAATAGAAAAGCAGGTGGAATGATCAGTCTAAGCACATGTTATTTTATCTACAGCCTGTAAATCACATTAAACTGCCGCTAAAGGTTCAAAAATGCCCTCTAAGATTTTATAGCAAGTAGATTTTAAATGCAACTTCTACAAAATGTGTTTGAATTTCACAGTTTTTGTAGGTAAAAAAAAAAAAGTTTAAATTTTGACAAATAGGTTTTGAAAATTCTGACATCATTTACCTACCTTTGTCAAAAAATAAAGTTATTATCAAAATGTCAAAGCTTTCACACACAACAAAAATGCAAGTGTCATCAAGTTAAATTTGTTCTTGGCTAATCAAAACAAATATTGGCAGCTCTCCAGAGTGCAACAAAAAATCCAAATGCGGTTTCAGCGGATATCATCTTGTGAGGTGCCGTTAAGTTCATTTCTAAGTGACTTTCGAGTGCATGCAAAACCGAACACGGTACAAGCGGTGATGTCCGATTGACAGGCAAATGATTCTCAAGAACTTGCTCTTTTTAATGAGTCAAAAGGATTCACTTTTTGAACCCACTCGTGATTTAATGGTTTGAAGTACTCAGTCAGTGAATCTGAACAGCAATCTTAATTAAACGATTATTAATTTAGATTCACATTTTTAGATTTCTATGACATTTACATTTATGCATTTGGCATATGCATATGAACAGCATTGTTAGCGCTATGCTCTACTTTTCGAGCTACATGAAAGCTACCGTAGTTATGAGGAACTATTAAGAACTATGTGTTAGTAGTATCAGTAAGTAACCTTCCCCAAAACTGGGTTTATACATGCATTTACTGACAAAATTATATGACTGTGGGTACCTTTCTTCTGACTGTCCTGTTTGAGACATGGCTCCTTGTTGTCCATCTCTGCCTCCTTTTTTTCGTCATTACTCGAGTCTGTCACTTTTCCACTTTCACATGTGCTACTGTGGTTTGGAGGCCCAGCTGGTGTGGCTGTGTTGGTCTGTGTATCCATATCAGTGGCGGTGCAGGTCTCCTCCAAAGCACTCTTGAACTCGTGGGACGGGAACTGGTTGAGTTGAGAGACCACCTGCTCTGGGACAGATGACTTCAGGGGCGTTTCTCCGGGGCAGGACTGAGCACCTCCAGAGCTTTCCTCTGAGACCAAATCCAGTGGTGGAAGGGTAGGGGGGTCCACCACAGTGTCCTCGACTTTTGTTGGGGTTTCTGCATTTGGTTTAGGGCTCTCTGTCGTCGACTGACTGGGCTCAACTCTCCGGTCCTCCTCTTGAAGGTCAGGTAGATCAGGTTCAACTATAGAGTCATCCTCTCCTCCAACTTCATCTACGGTAACCAGTTCCTCCATGCTTTTAGGATACCAGCTCTCCTCCTCTCCATCATCTCCACTTTCCGGTCCCTTGGCAAGAAATGAATACTTTCATTCAGCAAGTATGCATTCATTTGACCGAAAGAGACTGTAAATTCATTTATAATGTTACAAACGATTTCTATTTCAAATAAATGCTGTTCCTTTGAACTCATCAAAGAATCCTGAATGAAAAAATGTATCACTGTTTCCACAAAAGTATTAAGAAGCACAACTGTTTTTGTCACAGATTGGTGGCTGTAGTGAAGCGCATGAAGGAGGAATAAACAAAATAGTCATCAAACTTCAAACACAATAAACAGGAGAACAACATGGAGAAACACAACCACGCATACATTGATGATACAGGACCAAGAACCAACTCAAACTGAGGGCTTAAATACAGAGCACACAAAAGAGATCAATCAATTAAACACACAGGAAAACTGTCAAACAGAAACTGAACCCAATGAAAACTAACGGAGGACGGGCATCCTGGAGTCGTGGAAGGTAACGGGCAAGTGGGCAGGGCGGTGCCAGCAGGCTAGGAAACCTCAAGGGTGACAAATGTGATACAGGAGCCAGGGAGGCGCCGGTAACTCATGGAGCCAGGGAGGAGCAACCTCCTCGACCACTGTAGCTATGAGGATGGATCTTGACTCGGCCACTGTGGCCGGGGACGGCTTGAACGGGCTCGTGACTGAGGTCAGGGGCTGGAGAGAGCTCGTGACTGAGCTCAGGGGCTGGAGAGAGCTCGTGACTGAGCTCAGGGGCTGCAGAGAGCTTGTGACTGAGGTCAGGGGCTGGAGAGAGCTCGTGACTGAGCTCAGGGGCTGGAGAGAGCTCGTGACTGAGCTCAGGGGCTGGAGAGAGCTCGTGACTGAGCTCAGGGGCTGGAGAGAGCTCGTGACTGAGCTCAGGGGCTGGAGAGAGCTCGTGACTGAGCTCAGGGGCTGGAGAGAGCTCGTGACTGAGCTCAGGGGCTGGAGAGAGCTCGTGACTGAGCTCAGGGGCTGGAGAGAGCTCGTGACTGAGCTCAGGGGCTGGAGAGAGCTCGTGACTGAGCTCAGGGGCTGGAGAGAGCTCGTGACTGAGCTCAGGGGCTGGAGAGAGCTCGTGACTGAGCTCAGGGGCTGGAGAGAGCTCGTGACTGAGCTCAGGGGCTGGAGAGAGCTCGTGACTGAGCTCAGGGGCTGGAGAGAGCTCGTGACTGAGCTCAGGGGCTGGAGAGAGCTCGTGACTGAGCTCAGGGGCTGGAGAGAGCTCGTGACTGAGGTCAGGAGGGGCTGGAGAGAGCTCGTGACTGAGCTCAGGGGCTGGAGAGATCGTGACTGAGCTCAGGGGCTGGAGAGATCGTGACTGAGCTCAGGGGCTGGAGAGAGCTCGTGACTGAGCTCAGGGGCTGGAGAGAGCTCGTGACTGAGCTCAGGGGCTGGAGAGAGCTCGTGACTGAGGTCAGGGGCTGGAGAGAGCTCGTGACTGAGCTCAGGGGCTGGAGAGATCGTGACTGAGCTCAGGGGCTGGAGAGAGCTCGTGACTGAGCTCAGGGGCTGGAGAGAGCTCGTGACTGAGCTCAGGGGCTGGAGAGGGCTCGTGACTGAGCTCAGGGGCTGGAGAGGGCTCGTGACTGAGCTCAGGGGCTGCAGAGGGCTCGTGACTGAGCTCAGGGGCTGGAGAGGGCTCGTGACTGAGCTCAGGGGCTGGAGCGGGCTCGTGACTGAGCTCAGGGGCTGGAGAGAGCTCGTGACTGAGCTCAGGGGCTGGAGAGAGCTCGTGACTGAGCTCAGGGGCTGGAGAGAGCTCGTGACTGAGCTCAGGGGCTGGAGAGGGCTCGTGACTGAGCTCAGGGGCTGGAGAGGGCTCGTGACTGAGCTCAGGGGCTGGAGAGGGCTCGTGACTGAGCTCAGGGGCTGGAGAGGGCTCGTGACTGAGCTCAGGGGCTGGAGAGGGCTCGTGACTGAGCTCAGGGGCTGGAGAGGGCTCGTGACTGAGCTCAGGGGCTGGAGAGGGCTCGTGACTGAGCTCAGGGGCTGGAGAGGGCTCGTGACTGAGCTCAGGGGCTGGAGAGGGCTCGTGACTGAGCTCAGGGGCTGGAGAGAGCTCGTGACTGAGCTCAGGGGCTGGAGAGAGCTCGTGACTGAGCTCAGGGGCTGGAGAGAGCTCGTGACTGAGCTCAGGGGCTGGAGAGAGCTCGTGACTGAGCTCAGGGGCTGGAGAGAGCTCGTGACTGAGCTCAGGGGCTGGAGAGAGCTCGTGACTGAGCTCAGGGGCTGGAGAGAGCTCGTGACTGAGCTCAGGGGCTGGAGAGAGCTCGTGACTGAGCTCAGGGGCTGGAGAGAGCTCGTGACTGAGCTCAGGGGCTGGAGAGGGCTCGTGACTGTGCGCTCGGGGGCTGGAGAGAGAGCTTGTGACTGAGGTCAGGGGCTGGACATGCAGAGGGCCGTTTCTTCTTCCTCAGCCTCCTCCTTTGGGCTGGGGTTAATGCAGAAATTGAACAGACTCTGGACTGGACTCACGAACTACAGCAGGCTCTGGAACTGCTTTCTCTGGAGCTGGCTCTTGAACTTCACTCAAAAGAACAGGCTTGAGAATATTACTTATTGGAACAGACTTGGGACTTTCACTCACTGGAATGGACTCGGCAATTTCATTCACTGGAACGGACCGGGGGATTTACTCAGCAGCTAAATCTGAACCATTCAGCCAGAGAACATAGTTATATATTCCAACAATGACGAACTGAATCTACCGGGAGACAGGAACTGATACAGTTCATCATTCAGTCCCTCCCGAAAGCAGGCCTTGAGCATGTGAGTGGTCCAGCTCACCCGACGGTAATACTGCAGAAACTCATCAACTAATTGCTCCAAAGGCCAACCGCTCTGTAGGATGGAGATGATCTTCAGCCCGTTTCTTTCGTTCAGCCAGATCTATAGTGTCTGGGGTCCTGTAGTCTGTCACGGATTAATGGCTGTAGTGAAGCGCACAACGAAGGAATAAACAAAACAGTCTTTAATTATAACTTCAAACACAATAAACAGGAGAATAACACAGAGAAACACAACCACACATACGTCGACAATACAGGACCAAGAACTAACTTAAACTGAGGGCTTAAATACACAGAGCAGACAAAAGAGCTAATGAGATAATTAACAGGACAACAGGTGAACGGGATCAATCAATGAAACGGGGAGGAAACTGGGTCAAACAGGCAAACAGAAACTGAGCACAATGAAAACTAAATCAAAACAGAAAATAACCATGACAGTTTTCAACATTGATAATATTAAGAAATCTTTCTTGAGCATCAAATCATCATATTAGAATGATTTCTGAAGGATCATGTGACACTGAAGACTTGAGTAATGATGGTGAATATTCAGCTTTGATCACAGGAATAAATTCACGTATAAAAAAACTGTCATTTTAAGTTGCAATAATATTTCACAATATGATTTTTACTGTATTTTTTATAAATTAAATGTAACCTTGGTGAGCATAAGAGACTTCTTTCAAAAACTCTTCCTGAATCATAACATTTCAGTAAGCAAAAACGCAGGCAGGAAGATAAACAGGGTGACCACCTGGTTATTGCTCTGTTGCAGGACAGCTAATGGGATTTTGCTGGACAACGCAGGACACATGGGAGAGAGATACATTTACTACTATTAGACTATGTAAATATTTATTTTACATTAGTCCGAAAGCCTATGTCATGATAAATATAAAACGAATAACAGAGTAGTAGGTAAAATCACATTTTATACTAAAATAAATTTCCCTAAGTAGTGACTAAGTTATGTTCATTTATTAGACTATACAAACATTAAATGTATTTTACCATTAATGCATCTTGAACTTGCATTCATGAATTTGGATGAACTTGATTTGGCAGACTTGAAGAGGACAAATAATCCATTATGTGTCTGTATTTAACCTTCCCCCGGAGTTTACTTTTGATGAGGTCCACACTAGTTCCTTCTTTTCTCTATCCATGTAGTCATCATTAGCGGAAAAAAAACCTCTTTACGAATATGTTCAGGGCTTGACATGAACTTTTTTTGCTCACCAGCCACTGTGGCTAGTGGTTTTCCAAAGTTAATACCCACACAGCAAAACATAGATATTTTTTTTAATGATCTCATAATTATATTAACAATAATATATTAATATACACTCACCGGCCACTTTATTAGGTACCCCATGCTAGTAACGGGTTGGACCCCCTTTTGCCTTCAGAACTGCCTCAATTCTTCGTGGCATAGATTCAACAAGGTGCTGGAAGCATTCCTCAGGGAGTTTGGTCCATATTGACATGATGGCATCACACAGTTGCCGCAGATTTGTCGGCTGCACATCCATGATGCGAATCACCCGTTCCACCACATCCCAAAGATGCTCTATTGGGTTGAGATCTGGTGACTGTGGAGGCCATTTTAGTACAGTGAACTCATTGTCATGTTCAAGAAACCAATTTGAAATGATTAGAGCTTTGTGACATGGTGGAAGTAGCCATCAGAGGATGGGTACATGGTGGCCATAAAGGGATGGACATGGTCAGAAACAATGCTCAGGTAGGCCGTGGCATTTAAACGATGCCCAATTGGCACTAAGGGGCCTAAAGTGTGCCAGGAAAACATCCCCCACACCATTACACCACCACCACCAGCCTGCACAGTGGTAACAAGGCATGATGGTTCCATGTTCTCATTCTGTTTACGCCAAATTCTGACTCTAACATCTGAATGTCTCAACAGAAATCGAGACTCATCAGACCAGGCAACATTTTTCCAGTCTTCAACTGTTCAATTTTGGTGAGCTCTTGCAAATTGTAGCCTCTTTTTCCTATTTGTAGTGAAGATGAGTGGTACCCGGTGGAGTCTTCTGCTGTTGTAGCCCATCCGCCTCAAGGTTGTGCGTGTTGTGGCTTCACAAATGCTTTGCTGCATACCTCGGTTGTAACGAGTGGTTATTTCAGTCACTGTTGCCCTTCTATCAGCTCGAACCAGTCTGGCCATTCTCCTCTGACCTCTGGCATCAACAAGGCATTTCCGCCCACAGAACTGCCGCTCACTGGATGTTTTTTCTTTTTCGGACCATTCTCTGTAAACCCTAGAGATGGTTGTGCGTGAAAATCCCAGTAGATTAGCAGTTTCTGAAATACTCAGACCAGCCCTTCTGGCACCAACAATCATGCCACGTTCAAAGTCACTCAAATCAACTTTCTTCCCCATACTGATGCTCGGTTTGAACTGCAGGAGATTGTCTTGACCATGTCTACATGCCTAAATGCACTGAGTTGCCGCCATGTGATTGGCTGCTTAGAAATTAAGTGTTAACGAGCAGTTGGACAGGTGTACCTAATAAAGTGGCCGGTGAGTGTATATTGAGATAATATTAACAATAATATATTGTCACTTTAAGACCTGACACATTATGTTTTGTGTTTTTGACTGTTTAAGCGCAATAAAAAAACAACATTTTGTACTGAGAGCACAAAATCTGCGAGAATGGGTAAAATAATGCGCAATACGTGCAATCCCATACCGAAATTCAAGACAGAGAGAGAGAGAGAGAGAGAGAGAGAGAGAGAGAGAGAGAGAGAGAGAGAGAGAGAGAGAGAGAGAGAGAGAGAGAGAGAGAGAGAGAGAGAGAGAAAGCGCAGCTGGTATCGTGTATCTGCAGAAATTTCGTATTGGAAGCGTTTCAGATATTTAGGTATCAATATGTGTAGCGAAAAATCTATATTTTTGACAACACTTTCGACAAAAATGTTTATACTATATATAAAATTGAACACGCCAAGATGGCTAGTAGGAGTGACTGCGTTACACGCCACTGCTGAAATCCACCTGTATTTTGCAGGTTGGCGGGTGTTAATACCAAACCCTGTATATGTTGCTTGGTTATTTTCCTGCTCAAGCTAGACATTTTTTAAATGCCAATCACAATTATTTCAGGGAAGAAAAAAATACAGGCATACCGTAATTGAAATGCAGCACACTGTTTACATCTTGCAGGAAAGCTCCCAATTGCGGGACAAGTGGCCACCCTATAGATAAATGAATGAATGTGTGTGTTACTGTTTACCTCACTGTCACACTTTGAGGACTCTGCAGGTTTGCTGTTATGAGGAGACGCTGATCTTTCTTTTGCTCTATGTTCTTCCTTCTGTAATACATTTTAAAAAAGCAGTGTTATTCAAATATTGTCTTGAAGGGCTGAATTTACATTCCACTCCTTTTAATATATAACGAAGAGTTATATAGGGAATCATAGTTTTCTTAAATCTATTTCATCTATTCTGGTATTAGTGTTACAAGCAAATGTCTAGTTGGTATCTGAGAGGTCTGACTCGGTGTTTTTTTCATTTAGGCCAGCTTCCACAGAATAAATATGCAATTGTTTTATAATTTATTCATTTGATCTTCATGCAAACATGCAATCGTCATTTGTTATCCATATGAATTTTTCCTTTGCCGTTCTCATGACAGCTGTACAAGACATGTAAAGACAACTGTGCCTAGGGTCATGAAGGTCAGCAACGCACCACATGTATCCACTAATACATACTTGCCATTTGTAACTCTAGGTTAAAAATGTGACGACGAAACATTGGTAGTCTATGTCGGATCAAGTTTGTCCCAACTTTTCTGGAGTTGAAATATTGTTTAATAAAGCAGTACATTTAAATATTTAAAATAGTTTTAAAGTGTATATATTTGAAAGTGTATAATATTAAAAATAAATATTTTGATATAAATAAGATGTATTATAAAATACATGATCTAAATGATTACATCTAGTATTCTTAACTCTTAATTTTTGTGATTCAGTTGACACATTATACGCAGTTGTATTACAGTTGTTCTTAAAATGATGTGAAAAGTGTAGGACATGCCTTATTTTGGGACTCTTTCTCCTCCTCCTCTCGTCTCCGGCTCGACCTCTTGCTGCGTCCTCGGTCTTCATCTATCCGGTTGGAGCCGGTGTCGTCCGCCACGTCTGACTCCGAGTGTCTCGGCCTGTGATAGTCTCCACCGTCCCGTCTCTTAGTTTTACCTTCATGTCTGTGATGTTGCGGCCTGCTCTGTTTATCAGCCTTGTACAGTGAGTCTTTCTTGTAAAAGTCATCTATGGAGTGGTAGGAGGAGAAGGAGGAACCCTGAGGACTCCCGCGGGGGTACCAGTCCCTGCCCCGCTCGTCCCCGTGCCCCATCCGGGGGCTGATCCGGTCCCCGGTTTTAAGGTAGGGTTTCCTGCGCTCAGACAGCCACCCGTTGGCTCTCTCCTCTTTGTCGTTCCTCCAGTCGTCTCTCTCACGGGGGTCCTCGTCGCCTCGGGAATGGGACGTCCAGTCCCAAGAGGCCCGGCGCGGCCCCATGCCGTTGCTCCAGTCAGGCCGCGGGGGACTGTGTGCAGAACTACATGAAGTGAAGCTCGGACTGTGGGAGCGCGGACTCAGAGAACGACTGACTGGGCTGCGAGATCTTGCACGTTCTGGGAGGTACCTACACAAACCAGCAGCAGATTTGAGACGATGATAAAGAAAAAGAAAAATCTTTTTAAAAACACAAATGTACTCTCACTTTCACTTTCTTGGTCTTATGTTAGGGTGACCAGACGTGTCCCCGTTTTTCCGAGGACAGGACACCGAAACCCGGGTCTGTCCCCGTTTTACAGCATGTTCAAAACAACCCGGAAATACACAGCAAAAAAGCCTAACCATCATAGCCTGCTGGTTACCAGACCAGTCGTGTAGTGATTATGTTCACCAACAGGGGGAGCCGTAAGCTACATTCATTACTGGGTCGGACGCCGCTAATTTAGCCATGAAGAACTGAACCTGGTCGAGAGCAGAGCACTGTTATTTATCTTTTTTTTGTGTGTGAAATTTGACATACAGAGATGACATTTATGATATACAACTATGTATACAATATACCAAATGTTTTAACAATAAGTTCAATCTCATCAGAATACAAAGAAGCGCTACTATTTATCATCACAGTTCAAGAGACACGCCATTATGAGTTTGAAGGTATTTACATACTAGACTTGACTATAATAATTCAATAGTATACTATAAAACAGTCACGAGGGTCTGTAGGGGTCCTCTCTATGATGTCATTTCCTTTTCAATGTTTTTTTTTTTCTGCACAACATGACTTGGATTTGGAGGACAAAAGTTTTTCAAATGTTAAGCAGTGAAGCTGTTTTTTTTACTATTATAATAATAGAAGATTATGCCAAACTACTTTTCGTGAATTTCATTATTTTACTGAGACTTTATTTCTTTATTATGATACCAGGACAGTTGCACTTACCCAGACACTTTTGACTTTATTTATTTTATTTTTTTATATACCTTTATTTAACCAGGGAAGAAAATTACATTGAGATATGATTTATGCCTTCCAAAATTTGAATTTTTAGTTTTTTTAAGTAATTAGAAATTGAAATCGTGCTCTTAATAGAAAATATGTATTCACATCATCATTGTATACACGAAATGTATTTTTTGAATAAATGTAGTTTCAAACCCAACAGAGTCCCTATAAAACACCCTCACCTGTCAGTCTCCTGCACCTCATCTCGCTCTCTCTGGGAATTGATGTCATGGATGATTGAGTCGACATCTTTACCTGGTTTCTGGATCAGAAAGCAAAACACTCTTGAGCTGGGTTTGTTCGAGTCATGTGATGACGATGAGGCGAGACGACACGTACCTTCAGCTGCAGCTCCTTGTATCTCTTGGACATGCGGATCAGGAGCTTGTGTGCGTTGACTGTGGCCGGCTGCAGCTGGTAATACTGAACCATGGCCTGAGCCGCCTCCACGTACGCCATTTCAAGAAAAGCCTGACAGAACATAAAATCTGTCAAATGGGATCCGAACAGATCTTTTAAGATATTCTTTTTAATTGCGTAATAAATCTTTAAGACAGTTACAAGATCGATTCAACGCCAGGCATTTCAGGCACATGTCAAACTTGGCACTGGACCCAGAATGGGATCCAGTTGGTACTAACAGCACCAATCAAAAAGTCAATCAAACGTGATTAACGAATCGTGCTGATGGAGACATCATCGGTGTCAGGGTTTAAAGACGAAGTGCATAAAGTGCTTGCCTAAATCTATTTCTGCAGCCTGGCACTATTTACAACAAACAAACTGTACGATAAATCAACTCAGGACACTGCTATCTTAGTTTCAAATGAGGTAAACAGTTATTTAAGTGAATAATACAGCTTGTAAAAGTTTTAAGTCACCATGAAATAAAAACTTCAACTTCAAAAAATGTTATGGAATATATTAACGTGCCCTCATAATCTTTAATAAAAATATCTTCTCCTCCCTCTTGCAGCTCATCTCTTCTCTTCTCTGATGATGCGTTTACTGGCGTGAGGGCGGGGCTACCTGTCACTCACATGAGATCCACCAATAGCAAACCACAACCATCCAATCAGTTCCCCATTGACAAAATCAGAGAAGCCATTTCACTCACAAAAGTATGCAAGCTTGTTTCCACCACTGAATAAAAAAAAAAGGTAATTGCGACTTTATATCTCACAAATCTGACTTTTTTTCGCAATTGCGGAGTTTACATCTCGCAATTCTTTTTTTTCTCAGAAATGCGAGATATAAACTTGTAATTGTGAGTTTTAAGTCAGAATTGCAAGATATAAACTCGCAATTCTGACTTTTTTCTCGCAATTGCTCGTTTATTTCGCAATTCTGACTTTTTTCTCAGAAATACGAGTTAATACTTCACAGTTCTGACTTTAGAACTCACAAAATTGCATGTTATAAAGTCAGAATTATAAGACATATACTCGCAATTATTATAGATATAAACTCACAATTCTGAGAAAAAAATTATTTTCCCCTATATAGAATTTGACTATAATCTCGCAATTGCGAGTTTATATCACGCAGTTCAGAGAAAAAAAGCCAGAATTGTGAGAGAATTTTTTTTATTCTGTGGCGCAAACAAGCTTTCATACAAAAGGGAAGAAAAGACTACCCTTTCAACAAAATATGTTGACCCAGGAACGTGTTTGACGATTTCCTGGGTCAACATATTTTTATCCTGGAACAACGTTCCTGTCCGTCCGAAAATATAATCCAAACACTGATGAAGAAGCACCTAACCCTGGTTGTAAGTCTAAACGTAATGCGTAAAGAGAATATAACAGCACACACTCTTGAGCACATTTTATTATTACCAAGGTTTCGGCACAACAAGTAGCCTTTGTCAAGGCTTGTAAGCCTAAACTTGGCATAAACTGTAAACTTGTCCATCAAATCTGATTGGTTGATTGGAAGACGTTGATGCAGGAACATGTTGTACTTGGTGAAATGAGGTTCTGCCCAAGTCGAAGGCTGAATCATACCTGATGCGTCGAGCGCATGAGGATGTAGTTGGTCACTTTGCCGAAGGGCAGCCCCAAGTTGATGACATCATTCTCCGTGCAGCTGCCCTCTGGGAGATTACAGATGTGGACCACGCGCCCGGGACACGCCTTACGCTGAAGAAACTGAGAGAGGACGGGACGCAGTTAAACATACAGTCCCTTAGATTATACACACTTTTTCATCTGATCAACAATGGTGGGAAATGTTTAAGAGCATTTCAACACATCAATTACATATATGTGAACATATTTGTGGCTAGCAGTTAATGTGTGATCTTTTTATACCTGAAACAGTTTGTTAAAAAACCACCTGGCCCCTGCTGTGCTCACTAATGCCCCCTACTGGTGCTGTATTACTGGTAGAGTTTATCATTTAAAAGCATAAGCGCACTGAAAACTCAAACCTGATCAGAAAACGAGAGATATCAATGTGGGATATCATAAATGTCTCATAAAAAGTAACCCATGTTTCAATTTATTCTTTCAAAATTAAATTAAAATAAATAAATTTAGCTAATTAGTCCATATTATAAAATACCAAAAATCTGAAATTAATTATAAAAATAATAAAAATTCATTAAAACAAATAGAAATTTGGATAATCGATATTACATTCCATATATTAAAAACTACAGAAAGTCTCTCTAATATGTAAAAAGAAAAGCACAAAATTAAACCTAGTACAGAAAACACAATATAAAGACTCAAAAAATTATCTAAAATAGATCATAGAAATTGAATAATAATAATTATTATTATACCATAATTTAAAGATTCTAGAAGGGATCTAAAATGTAAAAAAAAAAAAAAGAATCTACATTAAAATTCTAATTTTAAGTCTCTTATGCTCACTACGGCTGCATTTATTTGACCAAAAATACAGCAAAATTGTGAAATATTATTACTATTTATTACTGTTTTCTATTTGAATATATTTTAAAATGTAATTTATTCCTGTGATCAAAGCTGAATTTTCAGCATCTTTACTCAAGTCTTCAGTGTCACAAGATCCTTCAGAAATCACTCTAATATGAGGATTTGCATTTATTATTGCATTTTATTATTATTACTTAAAAAAATACCGATGCCAAAATTTTACAGTAGCATATACCACAATCTAAAATAAAAAAGTACATAAATAATTCTACAGTGTCTAAATAAATAAATCTAAATACTCTAAAAATGTCTAAAAAGAATTAAGTTATTATGTCTTATATTATTATTAAAATTTTGTCTCAGTAATATAAGCTACAGTGAGGTGTGATGTGTACAGGGTGTTTGATTGACAGCAGCAAGTGTGAGGGGCGGTCAGTCCACATCAGTGTTTACACTGCAATTTACACACCGTACGAACAGTATTATAGTGGAAGGACCACAGAGATCTGCAGAGTGCGTGAGAAACGATTAATGATCGTGACTGCCGGCTGTGAGAATCAAAGTAGAGAAACTTGTGAAGTTCCTGTAAATGATTCAACCATCATACTCAGACCGGATCTCAAAGTGGAGCTGAAAAGCCCTTAAATCAATGTTAATCTGGACATCCTGTCAGACTTTCCCTTTGCCCAAATGTGCCAAAAAGGTCACATTAGTTCTACCTCCATAAACACATACCAAAATAGCCCCCCAAACAGGCTGTTTATGCCTCTGCTATATGCTTTACAAGTCCGAATGTAACTCTGAAGGGCTTCTATGCGCCGGGATGGTAAAATGCAACACCAGTGTTTTGGAGTTCATTCAGCTTGTTGTGAGCAGTCAAAGCTCGAGGTTCTGGCAATGATCATGGTGAGATTATGTTGAAACACTGGGTAAAGCATAACTGGCATTGCAGTGAAACCCTGAGGGGCTGTGGCTGCTGCTGATTGGCTGGCAACGACCACCCTCAAAAGATTTTTGGTCAACCAAGGCAAGTGAAATTCAAAGTATGAGATGTGCTTGTTTGCAGAGATGGACAGAATCTCATCATTGGAGAGAAGTGCAAAAAAGAAGAACATCTTCAAACAGGTTTCCCCTAAACACCTCCTCCTGTCTGTCATTGGTTGGCCAAACAGATAGCTCCGCCCCAAAGTCACGCCATTGGTCGAGTCACTGTTGCCATGGGATTCTCAAACAAATCCAGCAATGTTTTGAAAGCATCGCAGTATAAACAGTGGCTACAAAGCCACATTTTAACATAAAATTAAACTACTAATGGCTTAAATATGTCTCCGCATATTAAGTTGCAGCTTTATTTTAGTATTGTATAATTAGTATTCATATTTTTAATTCATTTTATTTTTATATTTTCCATTTTCATTTCAAGTTTAGTTGAAGTTTTAGGATTCTTGCGGTTTTATTTCAGTTTTAGTTTTTTTAGTAAATCAAGTTAAACTAAAGGAAAATGATAAATGTTGCCTTGACAACTAGCTGAAATAAAACAACGTTTATTTTTATTTCAAGTAACAAATATGCTTTGGTAACACTTTACAATAAGTTACCATTAGTAACAATGAGCAAAACATTAGTTACAGTATTTAATAATCTTTGTTAACGTAGGAAATACAAATACTGTTGTTAGTTCATGCTAGCTCAGGTTCAATAAATAATATTAACATGAACAACTTTTACACAAATATTGAAATTGGTATCAACTAAGATTAATAAATGATTTTAAGAATTATTAATAATTGCTGTTTTAACATTGTTAACAAATGTACCCTTATTGTAAAGTTTTCACAGTGCTTTTTATAGTTTAGTTTTAGTTAACTGTTAATTACTGTTATGTGTAATAACCCTATTAAGTTGTGATAAAGCATTTTAACTCCACAAAAAGTTACTCTCTTCAGCTTTGAAAATATTTTCCAGCACAGAAGCTGCAATGGATGGTATAAAACCTGAATATGGCTAAAGACCCGAAAATGTAATAATGATTGGCGAAACATTCGTGCATTTAAAGGGTTAAAGTCACATATGCAAATAAAGACAATAAAAATTAATTATAAACTAGATAACCATTAATTAAATGTCTTCTGTATGGCAAAAAAAACACAAAAAAAAACACTGACATATTTCTAACAAAGAGAGAAACCAGATTAATGTTGCAATATGTAACATTTATGATGTGTTCAGTGTTACCAGTAAAATGATATTTTTCAGCTGTTGTCATCGCAATGGTTTGAAAACAAACAAAAATGTATTGGCAATCTGATTACAATCTGAATGCGTAGTGCTGTAATACGCATGTCAACTGAGATTTGTCATGAACACATCATAAATTAGGAGAACGAAAGACAAGCTCTTCGGAGTTCCAGTGATGACCGGCACCATATCATGCTACAAATGCATTCACGCCTGTTTGCTTATCTAGAGAGGGTTTAAACTGCTTTACACAAGCCCTGAAACAGGTTCATCTGAAACCTATAGCATGCACTTTCTGAATTTCACAGATCTCCTGGCATTCCTCCCGTCAGGAAGCCTTTATCCCCAAGGATCGGGTTACGATTCTGTGGGCTGAAACCGAATTCCCAGCCTCAGAGCCTGGAGCAGCACACACATCTTGATTACTTGGACAGACGTGGACTTTCTTTGTGGACTGATTTTTTTAAACTGAAAAGAGTTTTTACATCCTAAGCTAAAAAAACGAAGAGTTATTAAAGCGCCGCCAACGTACAGCTGCAGTGCAACAGGTGGGTTTTATAGGAGCTAACATTAGCCCGTGCCTTCGCTTCTCCAGTGGACTAAATCATAAATAACTTGGCTAAAAAGACCAGCATAAAGAATCTTTGTGCAAGTCTCTGAATCCACAAGCTGGCAACTGCATAAAATACCATCCTGCACAGGACATGGTTTCAATTATAGGTGGTTTGACGTCTACGCAAGGTCAGAGCATCTAATCCAAAACAATGCTTCACGCAGTCCATATGTGAGGATCCATCAGTCGCACTCGGGACACGCAAACAGCCGCTACTCGCATTACTACACTACATGCAAACAAAGGACGAGCATGAGAGAAGACATGAAAAATAGACTGTCCAAAGATACACCGATGACAAGAGTAATGTAAAAGAAATGCATTATAACAATGAATATAATATATAATATATGTCTGTAATTGTAGCCACAGTAATAATCCATTATAATATGTACCTATCATGGATACACTACCGTTCAAAAGTTTGGGGTCAGTAAGATTTTTCAAAAATAAATTAATGCTTTTATTCAGCAAGCTTGCTTTAAATTGATCAAAAGTGCCAGTAAAGATGTTCAAATTGATACAAAAGATTTCTATTTCAAATAAATGCTGTTCTTTTGAACTTCCTAAAGAAACCTGAAAAAAATGTATCACGGTTTCCACGAGAATATGAAGCATCACAACCGTTTTCAACAGTGATAATAAAATGCAAATCCTCATTTAGACTGATTTCTGAAAGGATCGTGTGACACTTAAGACTGGAGTAATGACTAAGTAATCACTAAATAAATTACATTTTAAAATATATTCAAATAAAAAACAGTAATAAATAGTAATAATATTTCACAATTTTGCTGTATTTTTGGTCAAATAAATGCAGCCTTGGTGAGACTCATTTCAAAAACATGTAAAAATCCCACTGACCCAAAACGTTTGAATAACAGTGTACATCTTCAAAGAGTAAAATTACACATTAAACACATGATAAATTAATAGGGGTGTTATAATGCATTGCACTTAGTCCAAAAACACTTATTATTAACCAAGGAATGATTAAAAATGTTGTTTTGATGATAATGTAAACTGTGATTATAAGTCATATGCTTTTGTCATCTGCAAATGCTGTAACACTGTTTCTCTCTTGGTAACTTGCTTTCTGTTTATATCTCTGTCTCTTCTCAGTCCTTGAACTCAAAATGGCCCTGCTTTGGTTTACTACACTGAACTCACGTATACAAGTAACTATTATTCTTGTTTTTGTGGGGCTTTTTTAAGTGAGACAGAATATTAAAATTAATGAATGAATCAGAAATGAATTCTAAAGTTGTAAGATTATATATAAAAAAAGGTACTGTTAATTTGTAACATTCGCTAATTACAACTAAATACAGTGCAAGCGACTACAGTCAGAAGATGTTTGAGATTCAAATCAGTAGCCTGTCTATGAAAAAAAATCGGTGGAATATTTACCATCAGATTTTATTTGCTAGAAAGCCAATAAAATTTTTTTAATCTTTTAAGTGGCTCAATTTTCTTCCATTGAGCGACCAAAATACAAGTCACAAAAAAAAAATGTGCGTCCAATGATATTTTACTGAGAGACTGAGTTTTTTTTTGCATATATGCACAGAAAATAGCTAGCAATAATATATAATAGTGTTTAAGAAACATAGTTAAACGGTGCTTTGTATTATGGGTGGTAAATTTTTTTCAAATCACTCAGCACTGGCAGGTCTGGCAAAAAGTTAATTTTGGAGGCTGATCCCACAGCTAAATAAAGTCCTTGCACAACAATAACAAGTGTTCAGTTTTTACACTGAACCAGATCAGTCTAGCCTGGTGCATTCCCACCTCATTACAACAGCATGATAGCATAACAACTGCTCAGCCGACCCCGTTCATTTAGCTGAAAAATACTGTTGTGCTCGAAGTTTGCAGAGCTGTGTATTCACAACGGAAACGATCCCCTGTCGATGCTACTGAACCACACTTATACATGAAACCCTTTCCTAGTAAGCAATGAGTGAGCTGTACAATACTGATCACTTGCACCTGTTCTTAAAGAGCTCTAGCTGTGAAGATGGCTCAGTTGTCCTTTGAATAATAACTGTTAGACTGTGATAATAAGCACTAAGTAATCTGTCAGTCATTGAAATAGTGTGACCAAAATATAGCATGCTCTGTATCTCAACACTCTTGGCTTCTATACAAACCCTGTGAGCTAAAAGAACAATGCTGTGAGATAAGCCAACACACACTCAGAATTAAAGACCTCATCAAAAAAAGCTGGGTGAATTTTTCAGGATTACAAATCCACACCAGTCAAACGCCAAATATCATGTGAATTAAAATTTTTAACTAAATATTTATTCCTTAATCCATGTCTTTTTAATGGTCTTTCCCCATTACTAACCTTTGCCCCTGAAGTAAATCCCGGCCCTGAGAGAGGAAACGGCATGGCTGTGGCAGGCAAATATGAAGCACTTCCAGTTGAAACATCTGTAGAAAACAGGACAGATATCCAAACATTAATTATAAATAATACATTTTGAGGAATACATCTATTTTTAACAACCATGTTGCAAATTGTTCACATCACCTTACTTGAGGACCCACTAAAAAGTCAGACCCCATGAAATAGTTTGACTAAAGAATTTTTGTATGTGTGTTGATGTATTTACTATTGAAACGGGAAATTAGGGCAGCCAGGGAATATTTTAGTTTATTTAGGGCTTGTAGTTTTTAGCCAAAAGACTTTAGTTTACATACCAGCCTACAAAACCAAATAAAAACCATTTCATTTGCAACCAAATCATTTTTGGAAAAGGATGTGAAGTAAAAAATGTGACATTGAATCAAATGAAAGTATGTTAGCATAACCGAAAACACACAGATTAACCATCGCTGCAATTGCTTCCCTATAGTATGCGATAAACAGTACGCCAACATAGTATGTCCGAATACATAGTATTGGAAAAACAGCAACAGAAAAAGTCCCCGGATGATCTACTACTTCTGGCGAGATTCTGGTGTGGGCATTCGATGGTCACTTTACTATCCCATGAAGCCACGGGAGAGGATTAATGGAAGTGAAGCTACGCAACTGAAGCTGGTAGGTCACGTGACAGTAACAAGCACATGCTTCTTGCTAATGCTAGCCAATGGCTAGACGATCAACATATTGGACAAAACTGTGATTACACCCCTTGAGTACAAGATGATTCATCAATATTTTTAGAAAGAAAGTTTGTTAAACAAAAACTGATCAGTGAATAGTTTTGTTTTTTTCAGTTGTTTCTGACAAAACCAAAAATTGTGGTGTTAACACACGTCACTCAAGTGTGTGCCAGACTGTAGACACTCCACATTCCCCACAACTGAAGTGACAGCCCTAAAAATAGAGTCCTCTCTAAAATCACGTCCCAGAGTTTTCTGTCCCCTGAATTTTCAGCACTTACATTGAGGGACAAATTAGGAGATTTGACTTACCTTGACCGGCAGCTGATGTGTATGCCATAGTGTTACTCAACGCCATGTTGAGACATCCTTCAGACGACACTGGAAAGTGCACTGCTCCGAGCGGCGGGCTGCGAGGGGGACAGCACTGCATTTAGATCCTAAATCCCAGTGCATCTGGTCTGACTATATCTTATGACACCGCTCAAATTCAGGCATATCTCTCTCTATATGGAAGACGACTCTTTATAAAATAACTCTGCGTTTAATACGGAGATTGGTTGTACTCATAAAATGCTTAACAAGAGTATCACAGGCGATGACCTGTAGGTAATAAGGATCAAAATAGACCACATACAAACAAGCCCTTTAAAAATATCTTGCTTCTACACCAAGTTAGCAACGATTAGCCGCCCATGCATCAGAGTTGGTGGTTTATCAACATGACAGACACTTAAAACAGCCCTGAACATCAATTGAGGAAGGTTGTAACATGGTACAAATGGTATTTTCGCCAGTACTCACCTTTCAGTGTAAAGCGAACAGTTCTGCAGATGTAACTTGCCCTTCACATGCTGGTCCCAGTCCTGAAAACAGCACACACACACACAAATACACACACAAACACGATACGCCTGTCAGATAGACTTCACCACCATCCTTCTCTATGAGAGCGAAAGATTCCCCAGGCGTTGCCTCAACCTGGGCCAATTAGAGAGCTAGTAGTTCACCACAGAGTAAGGGCAAGCAAGAGTTGAGAACGAATGCGATTACGACAAACTCCTGCAGAACAACTGCGTCCTCCCCCCCTTCTAAACCTGCCTCCACTCCACACATGCCAGCTGCCACAAAAGCATTTACACCCTAGTGTAACAAATGAGCCCATTTTAGCCAAGTATCACGAAAACCCTCTCAGTTCTGCAGAAATAGCTGGGGAAAACAGTTGCTGGAGTCGAGACCAACTGGATCTCAATTCTGGATACTGGATGCTGCAGCTGAGACATCTGGATAGACTTATGTAGGTATGGTACCATAAGTCTATAAGCAGAATTCAAAGCCTAGCATACATTCGGCACATGTAGAAGATTCTTGTGAGATTTGTATTCTTACAAATATTTGATTCCGTTTACACCTAGTATTAAGATCTATCTTTGTGATCTGATCTCAAGTATTCTGCATTAAACAGGGTCCAGCGGGTCCAAAACAGTTTATGATCCAATCTCGGTTGTTTCGATCTCAAGTGGACAGTGCTGAATACAGGTGTAAACTGAATTCTAAATGGTTTCTTATCCAATAAACATTCAGAGTAGTCATAAACAAATGTGACCACATTGAATTTGCAGTGCAAATGCTAATCTATCTTTGAAGTTGGTGTGAATGGTCCATTTACTTTGATCTCAACCAACAAGTCAGATCTACTCACCTTCAAGTTGTAAACCTTCTTTTCACAAATGGTGCACTGATGGGGTAGGTGTAAAGGAGTCGTCCCATGATAGTCATTGAACTGGTGGGGTTGTAACGACAAGGTCACCCCTTCTTCCCCTTGAGAAACCTGTGGCTGCTGTTGAAATCCCCCTTGCTGCCCGATGGGTGGACCAGTCCCTGGTCCACATGTAGAGTTAAACTTAGGATCTGCTGTGGGTTCCTCAGGGTTATACAACTCTGCCCTCTGACCCACAAACCCTGGTCCAGGTGGTACCCAACCACCAGGACCTGGTCCTTTACCCATATCCATCTTCCCCAAGTTGATCGGACCTTTCCATTGCTCCTTAGTGGCTGATGAAGAAACAGATCCTAGATTCTGATCGTTGCTTCCTCCCATGAAACAAGTTTGTTGTACTGGTGTTTCTGTGGAGTAGAAGTCTCTCTGAAAATTGCTGTGGACATTGTTTCTGGGTTGTGTAGTGGCTCCACCATACTGTCCTCCATCACATGGTTTATTAACGACCACTGACGTACCTCCCAGATATCCAAACTGCAAGCGTCGGTCCGTGTCCGACGAATATGTTCCAGGCTTTTTGCCGAAATCATTGTGCTGACTAGCTTTCTGGTTGGACATCCCACTGTAGGCAGTGGGCCTGATCCCAGTGGGATTTGGGTTAAAGCCACCCCCAACCAGTTGTCCTAGGCCAGCATTTGGGGGTGGGAAGGCTATTGGTGGAGGCGGAAAGGCTCTGCCGTGGGCCTGGGCCATACTTGAACCCCGAAGATGGTTGAAGAGAGGCTGGGACATGGCCACATTGGAAAGGACCTGGTTTAGGACAGAAGCTGCGGCAGCAGTATTAGTGGTCTGGGCAAGTTTGAGGCGGTGAAGGGTGAGCTGGGCCTGAAGCTGAGCCAGCTGAAGACCTGCAGGACTCAGCAGCAGGTTCTGACCCACTCCACCATGAGCACCTCCCAGAGGAGCAGACTTATTATCAAGCTTTTCTCCTGAGGTACTGTGGAGACACACAACATTTTGTCAATTAAATGATCATGTGCCACAGAAAATGTACACTGTAAAAACTAGGCATCAGCAAACACCCCACATTAGTGTATGAGGCGAAATATAACTCGCGTGCACTGTGTGCAAAGTTTTGTGCACAAACTACACACCCAAAGCATACCGAATTGAGCTCTCTTTCATGTCTTCTTTCGCTTGAATGAACAATTTCACAAAAAATTGTCAAAATGCCTATCTTGGCGAGTATCCTAGTTAGGGCTGACTTCTAATAGTCGAGGATATAACCGTGAGACCGACGGTTATACTCGACGCATCCGCACGAGCGCGAAGGTGCGGACGGCAAAAAAAATGAAGCGTTGGGTGCGCAAGACCGGCAAGACCCCATTTTGCTTGGCTGTGTGCACAGCTTTTTTGTAACAGCGCGCGCGACGCCGCATCCGAGGATGAACGACTTCAAGCCGAATCTGCCCGAGCATGTAGGCTACGTCTCACCGCACCGGCACGCAGTTTGCGCGTCTAAATTGCAAAGCTCATTGCAAAGTTTTTTTGTTAAGGTTTTGTTTACTGTGTGTGATTTATTTAAAACAAAGCACGTTCATTGCAACTTTTTTTGTTAAGGATTCATTTAATGGAAAGCACATTCACTTCTAGTTGTCTTGCTGTTCATTTTAAATAAACGTAGAGCGAGTTGTCCTATAACAGACGAACAGTTATTCAACCGCACGTCTAGCTGCTATCTAAAAAAAAAAAAAAAGGTTCGACTATCAGTCGACTACGGCAAAATCTAACGAATCAGATTCGACTATGAAAATCTTTAGTCGAAAACAGCCCTAATCCTAGTAAACATAGTCGGTTATGTGTTAAGTGAACATAAACAGTCGAGAAATAAAATGCATGTTTACAGTATCTGTGTATTGGATCTGTGCATTTTATCTTAAAGTGACAGTAGCCTAATATTCCTGCTGCTGTCCGTTACTGCAAAAAATCACTCAATGCTCTTGACTGAATAACTTTTGTAACTTTAATAAGTATTCATCTATATTTAATTTATGCAGTGAAGACAATTCAGTGTTATTTACTTTATTCAATTTGTACACAATCTAAACCTACCTAATTTGTATCCAACTACTGTTAGGTCTACCTGAAAAGCACTGTTTATTTCATTTACATCTTTGTTATTTGGATTATTTGTTCTTATTTTATTACAGACTGTTTACTTGACTTTAATAGTGTTTAAAATGTATATTTATATTATATATTTATCTAGATTTGTTTTCTTCATTTGTGTTGTTCTTGCATTCAATGTAAAAAGTCTGGCGAGTAAAACAAAAAATGTACTAGCCATTGGCAACTCAAGCTTCAGTGTGTTCGTAGTGGGTAGAATTGGTTAATATTTCCATAAAACTGTTCTGGCTACTCAAAAAAAAAAAAAAAACTCAAAGCTCTGTTCATGGAACTTTCTAAAACCCCCAAAACAAAAAAATATTCCCAGAACACTACAGGAACCAAAAATGGTTACATGGGTCACTGTTTTAGCGAAAGCTTTTGAAATGGAAATTTTTGTTTTGCAAAACCTCAAGGTGCTGAAATGTTTTTTTCTTGCTCAGAAACATTCTTCCTGACTAGACATGAGTACAGAAACTGTGAACTCCCTGTCCCTGTTTGAGTGGACTGATTAATGCGCTCACATGCTTGCTAAATTTAGCAAGCAGTACTATCAATCAAAATATCTGTGCAAGCCTGATGGCACTCGCTGAGCACACACCCTCCAATCCAAGAGCTGACATAAGTGCCAAAGCCACAAGGAAGAGTTGTAATAGTAGAGAAAGAGGGAACAACAATGTTTCTCAAAGGTACAGGCCCTAATAAGGGGATTCTTTTATGAGGTACATTCCAGGTGTTCTGGTGTTTCAAATACAGACCAATGTCATGCATGAGCAGTCAAGAAACAACTGGAACAAGGGGAGGCCCTCAGATCCTCTCAAATCTGAATTTGTGCAACTGAATCTTTTGGCGGGATTAACACCTCTCCAGAGTAGTGCTGGAGACATTTAAGATTATGACATGGTCTTACAGGAGCCTTTCCAGATCGTAAAGTTCACACATCAATACCAGCTCTAAATAAGTTATCCCTTCTTTCTTTAGACCACAAAATAATCAGATAAAAGGCTGTTTTTCCTACTCATTACACAAATGTTCATATTTACAACACATTTAATTAAAGATTTGTATGTAAGAAACAGTCCATTGCTGTGTTCCAGTTCACAGTGTTCAATGACTTGTGGGTTAATTTAGCTCTCCACTTCTCGTGAAGAGATATGGATTTCTTCCATTTGTGGTTTGAGGTGACTCTGACCCTGATTTTGAGTCTCACATAAAGTTGGCTGAATACACTTTGAAGTCCTTAGCAGGGCACTATAGGCAACTTGAACACACCTCTAGAGTGAATGTGTAAGAACAAACCAAAATATCTATACCCAATGCACACGGCTACATCAGTATTTTAAGCATTAGTCTAAAGAATATAGAGTTGGAGCGAGAAATTGGCAACCAGGCCACCTCTGTTTCAAGCACTCCTGATATTCATGGAGGGTTACAGTGACTGTCATCTGTCAATGGCCGCGTTTAACTTTCCACAGTCACTTCCGGGGCTTGATCGGGCCTTGTCTGGGCTTCCTCAGGGCCAACGGCCAGGGTTTTTTGGCCCGCCGAATATATTGGTCCAAACCGCGTGATTTTTTTCCCCAAACCACTTCAGCGGAAATCCCACCCTGCAGCCGATTTCATTGGTTTAGGTTACAGTGACGGGTAGGTTTAGGGATCAGTGTTTGGTGTAGGCAATCAGTACAGTGATTGACATGATGACCAATCAAAACTTTATAATCGGCTGCAGGGCGGGATTTCCATTGAAGTGGTTTGGGAAAAAAAAAAAAAATCACGCGTCCAAAGCGGGCCAACTCAGGCTTGAGGAGTGGTTACAAACAAAGGCAGAGTTTATCTCAGTCTGGAGATGGCAGCGCCGGATGGTTTCATATACCAGCTAACATAAGCAATTTTATTTTTATAAAATAAAGCAACTCCCGTTTTACGTAAGCTTCCTCTGTTTCTCTGACTGAAAATGTAACTGTATTGGGACTGTCGCTGGAGAGAGTGCTAAAGCTCCCCAGGTCGTATTTTTGGTGGCATATTTGTAGAAATTATCATTCTTTCTAAATCTGATGTAAACATACTGTCCTGTGACTACAAGTAATCAGACGCAACTGAATAAGTATGTGTCCTCTTTCTTTTGTGAAATGACGGTAAACCACTTTATTTCTGTGGGACTAATGTGCAATCTTGACACAAATTAATTCATTATGATTAATGTATCACTTATTATTGTAAAACTGTGGTAAAACATAGATTGCTTGGGTTTTACATCTTTAAGTAAACAACAAAAATGCCAACAAACAGCCACTATCATATTAGTTTTGCAATCTCGCTAGTTTCCAGTGATTTCCTTCTGATTAGTATTCTGATAAAACGTCCATATGTTGGTGAAATTACGGGTTTGAGTGACGTTGCTCCAGAGCGCTGCCTTGTTCGCACTGGCCCAACAGTGGCTATTGACATTACACAGCGGAGCAAAGCAAGGCTAACCGACTGCTAGAGTTCATTCACGGTCGGATACCACTATTATTATACACTTAAAGAGTAGGGTGGGACTTGGTTTTGTAGACTCGATCATGAGTATTCAGAGTGTTGTTGTTTTTTTAGTAAGGCGCAAAATAAGCTACTGATAGGCTACATTTTGATGAAAGATTAAAAAGACTAAACATTTCTTTGGGAGAACAATGTGTTTTTAGAAACTAAACGGTGTCAAGTTTTATTTTAATTTAAATTTTATTTACTTTAATATCTGTATGTTTATTTGTGGTCTGAGAAACATTAGTTTAATTGTTGTTAGCATGTAGCCAAGAGCATCTTATGCTTCCAAAGGCACTGTGTCTTTGTCAAAAAATGCACTTAAAGCTTAATTAGTGATTCATTTATATTATTTCTCAGATCACAAATAAGCAGAGATGTTAGTTTCAATAATTGATTGCTGTTTGCACGTTAGCATGTAGAAATTGGCTTCTTATGCCTTGAAAGGCACTTTATATCTTTGTGGACAAGATGTACATAAAGATATATTTCTTTTCTTTTATTATTATAAGCAGTAGCAGCAGTATAAGGGCAGTAAACTGGTACTTAAAGATGGGTGTATATTACCACATTACTAGACATTCGCCAGTACAATATATCCTGGCATGTGAAACCGCATGCAAAACTGTAATGGAAATCTTGGGCAAAGACACAACATACATAAATTAGATTTTATGGTACAACTGGCCTTTGAGACCCAACAGCTGGTCAACTGTAGCATACCACAATTAAGAGCGCAGAAATTGAGCCAACAATGGATTTAAAAAGTCTAGTTTTATGGTTGGCATGCTATAAAATGATCTTGCATGCAAACGTAACGAGGTTAGGTTTCAAAAACACTGTAACGTTAGTAGCACCTAAGTACTACTAAGCACCTCAAGCACATTTGCCCATAGATTTGTTCGATATTTTTTCTTCATAAGCGCATTGCTAATATGTTGCAGTGTAACTTTCCTGTTGTTGTGTCAACAATTTTTTAAACAAAATTGTTTCTCTTGATTATCATTGACGAAAACTGTGTAAACAAACGTTTTCGTCAGCTATTTCGTTTGCGTGGCTGTGATATCAAAGAGGACTGTTGGACATTACGCCAGTATCGTCCCACCTTCATGACTCAAAAGCCTAAAATACACCAGTGACACACAACACAGCACGCTCAGCTACCACCGAAAACCAATATGGCTCTCACAGCTGCCCGCTCGCTTCTGCACTTGAGTCGTCTCGCATGAGCAGAGGATCCAGGTGTCAAATGCCCTTCACCAATTAATACAAGCCCGTCTTAAGACAGGAACTGTGCAGAGTATAATTATA